TGTGTCTGTATAATGGGAGCTGTATAGTGTGTCTGTATATTGGGAGCAGTATCTGTACAGTGTGTGTCTGTATATTAGGAGCTGTATCTGTACAGTGTGTGTCTGTATAATGGGAGCTGTATCTGTACAGTGTGTGTCTGTATAATGGGAGCTGTATCTGTACAGTGTGTGTCTGTATATTGGGAGCTGTGTCTGTACAGTGTGTGTCTGTATAATGGGAGCTGTGTCTGTACAGTGTGTGTCTGTATAATGGGAGCTGTCTCTGTACAGTGTGTGTCTGTATATTGGGAGCTGTGTCTGTACAGTGTGTGTCTGTATAATGGGAGCTGTATCTGTACAGTGTGTGTCTGTATAATGGGAGCTGTATCTGTACAGTGTGTGTCTGTATAATGGGAGCTGTATCTGTACAGTGTGTGTCTGTATAATGGGAGCTGTATCTGTACAGTGTGTGTCTGTATAATAGGAGCTGTATCTGTACAGTGTGTGTCTGTATAATGGGAGCTGTATCTGTACAGTGTGTGTCTGTATAATGGGAGCTGTATCTGTATAGTGTGTGTCTGTATATTGGGAGCTGTGTCTGTACAGTGTGTGTCTGAATATTTTGTACTAGATTCTTGATTGACTGATATCAATACTTTGGAGAATGAAGTTCTTACTCTGCCCTTTCGGTTACTAGTCCCTAATGCAAGCAATTATATTCGGCTCCTAGTATTTATTAACTTTACAGGTTATGTTTTTTACTGGGATATATTTTTCTTTATTTAGCAGCCTTTATTAAGTATATGGTCTAGCAGAGTTCTCACACAGAGAGCCAATCTAATAAAGTTACCATTTAATATTTGAACTCTGTCTGGATACAGTTATTTAGAGCTGCTATATATGTGTAGCCTTAGGCGCACACCTTACTAGGTTGCTATTATTTGTTTTTGGTCTATATTACTTTATGCCAAGATCTCACTTGGTATTGGACACTTACCTAGCTGCAGTACTCCTATTATCACATAGATATTATAGCTATGACTACTTTTATATCCAGGCGATACAGTGATTTTCACTCTTTCTTCTGCTGAGAATCACTGTACCTATATTTCCATGTTTTTTTCTGGTTAGTTTATATTAGGGTCAATCCCTGAGAGACCCCTGGAGTCTCGGTTTGGTGCCAAGGATAACCGGTTCAACCTCGATGCCATCTGTATTCTTAGTGTCACAGGCGGGACCGATTACTTATCCTTTATTTGTATTTATATGCTTGTATTTACATAGATTTGCAGAATAAAAGTGGGTTTAAGGTCTTTTTTCAGAACTTGGTATGTTTAACACGTTTGCTGTGAAAAATGTTCACTCTGCAGACACAAGTGCAATAAACTTGAATTTATAGAATGCATTCATCAAAATATAAATATTGCATGAATTTGGAGCATCACGCTGCATAATTAATCCACATTTCACTCTGTATAACCTTTGGACTATTCTATATCTTAAATGGAAAACTATCCCTGCATAGAATTTTCCACCTGTAAGCATTTAATGAAAATCAATATTAAATTTAGGGGGGTGAGGAGGGTTTTAATCTTTCGATCCACCCTGGATTGGAATGTTTGAGGACACAGTTTGTTTAGAAAATGTCCATATCTTTAGGAAGCGGATCTGGCAAAACGGTTTCTCCATTGTGTCCAACATGTCAGTCTTTGTGCTGTGTGAAAGCCCTTTACACACCTTCTTTCTATTACAGGACACTGGAAGCCATTTTGTTTGCTGTTCTGTAACGTCACATGTATGAAGAAACAAGCCTATCATTGGAGCAAGAGGAATCCCTTCTACCAGGATTAGCAGAAAATATCTAACAATGCTGATGACTAGGGAAAGCTCAAAATATTCAAATGGAAAGGTGAGAAGGACATTGACGCACAGACAGCCTCAGTTGATCCATTTATAAATAGTCCTTTGTGGTCATTACATGCACACCTTCTTCTGATAAGTCTACTTCTGCTCTCCCAGATGCTCCTTTCCTACCTTTGTCCATTAAGATCCTGTGGAAGGGCTCCAGGTCCATCCTTTAATTCTTTATAGTGGTTCTGATGTCTTTCTTGCCTTTGTAAAACATTGCTTACCTGATATTTTTAATAGGTCCCTGGAGATGTAGTAGCTCATTTTGTGGCTTGATGGAAGGTCATGTGGAGCTGAAATTTAATCCCAGGGCATATATATTCAGAAATCGAAGGGGGGGGAATTGTTATCCTTAATGCAAGGAGCCAGTTAGATGAATGAAAATTAAAGAGATACTGTAGACACTATAACTATTGCATCTCATTAAACTGGTTATAATGCCTGGAGTCCCCTGACACTGTTCCTCTATTTATTAAAAATTCATTTTTGAGCAGTGATGATCTATGAATTCTATTAGCTCTGCCCCCACTGGAGGAGTGGCTATGGTAGAGTTTACACACTTCTTTGTAGCCATACTAATTCATACCAGCAATGACACTATGATAGGCTGAAACCTGTCAGATGGCACTCTCAGCCAATCACAGGCACCCACTGCTGCTCAAGTTATTCCTTCCTCATGTTTTCAAGCAGCACAAAGGGAATGGATTGCTGGGCTTTTGTTTAGCAGTAAAACATCAAGAACAGTTTAGTGTTGAATGTAAGGATAGTGCCAAGGGACTCTAAATCCACTTCAATGCAATGAAACTTTGCTATTTGTGAAGAAACTTAACAAAAAAACATTAATTAAGAATTAAGAAATCCCTGTTTATTCACTAGTTATTCATCTCATTTTACCTTTATTCATTCGGTAGATTGAACTACCGAACAAAGACCACCCCTAGCTCATTAAGCTTCAAAAGAATCGTCAATCAACCCCTCTATCTGTGCGGCCAGCGTTCGTACTACCGAACGCCACGTGGCTGAGAAAACTGCGGCCATTTTTTTCAGCTGAACAAAGGCAGCGGGACTTGGTCGTTGAGTGTCTGGAACTAAAATCGGACACTCAACTTCCCGAACACCGGTCTCAAACAGACGAACGCTGGAACTCTAATTACCGAATAGCTAGAAGAGCGCTATTCGGTACTTTGGTGCATTCGACAGAGGGGAGCAATCGCTGCTGAGAGCCAGGGGGATCCATTCGGTACTTTATTCGCTTTTTCCCTTTTACTAAAGTGAATGGCAAAACCCACCAAACTCATGGAACTGTTTTGGGCAGCCAGCCCACGGTGAGCCGGTCACAGAAGACTTCCACAGTTTTTGAGAACCCCTGAACCGATCTGGGTGAAATTTGAATATGTTGGTCACCCAGATCAGGGCTATTTGTGGGGCACCTCAAGTATAAAGGGGTGTTCCAGATATTGGGGAAAAATTTTATTTTTCTGCCTGGAGATAATAAAGTTGTGGCGAAACCAACCTCGCCACTGTGAACTGGAGAAGCCTGGTTGCTCGCCTGCTCCCTTTGGACTATGGCCCTGCAGATTAAACCGTTTATTTCCCCTGCAGAAAGGCTTATTTGTGTGATCTGAGTGCCATTCATCTAATAATGTGCACTCAGATCCCAGCTATCTGGGGATATGTGAAATGTCTGTGTGTTATGTGTAAATGTGACTTTATGTATTTTAAAGTGTTTTGTGTCTTTTGCAACCATGTGCTTAATGGAGTCTTGTGTCTGTCCTGGGAGATAATTGAATTACTTATCTCCAGGATAGAAGACTCTGAAACTGGTTTGGGCCAGAAAGCCATGCTTCATTTAGTCACAAAGGACTTTCCCTTAACTTTTGAACCCCTGGTCTGATTCGCGCCATTTTTTAATATGTTGTTCCCCTGAATGGATTGATTATGAAAATGTATGTTTTATGTTTGTGACATGTATATTTTAGAAGTTAGAAATATTGTGTAAAAACTGTATTACTCTGCCGGTGATAATGAGATTACCCATTGTGTTCAGTAATCATATCACCTGCAGAGGGGAGGATTTTGTGTGGGAGTGTCTGGGTGTATTGTACGGATTGATTGGTTGTTTTGTAACGCCCTGTGGGCTGTACTATGTTTGTGGATTGGGAATAAAAGAGACTGTATGTGACAGTACAGGAGTTCCTGTTTTAACCCTCAAAGTGAAGTGTCGTCTCATTATTGGGGAAGGATTTATTGTATGCTGTTCCAGTTTGACTGCTAGGAGAGTAAACCTATTCGTATGGTTCCTATTCAACTGTCTACAGCATTCATATGCTTGAGAGGATTCATATGCTTCTCCGGTTCGGTGGTTGTGGTGTCTGCTGCAGTGCTTGGAGTCCTCAGGAAGCGCTAGGAGCATCCTTCAACGGAGGTACCCAGTCGGGGTGCCAGGTGATCCGTTACAAAAGTTATTACTTTATCAGACTTGATTATCTCCAGGGTTAGGGGAGGGAATTGTGGGTGTGTGTTATGTTTTTACTGTGCCCGATTGGTTAATCTTTGTCCCTCCCTGGGGGATGTCCCCTTGCATGGGGACTTGCATAAAAGCCTGTGTGTAATCATTAAAGCTCAGTTCAGTTGTACCCTTCTTCTTGACTTCGGATGATGTTTGGGGATTTGTGTGCTTCACTAAGGGAATTATCTTATGAATCTATTGGGATTACTATACGGTTCGTCTACTTTATCTACCGAACGGAGAGCTATAATCACTGATGCTCTGGCGGTTCGGGAGGAAACTACCGAATGAGGTTTAAATATACTTGGTTTCCTTACAGTAAGTATAGATTATTATTTATATTGTGCCATCAGATTCCGTAGCGCTGTACAATGGATAGACTAACAGACATGTAATTGTAACCAGACAACTGGATGTACAGGAACAGAGAGGTGGAGGGCCGTGCTCAATGAGCTTACATTCTAGAGGGAATGGGATATACTGACACAAAGAGTAAAAGTAGGGGTACGAAGTAGGTTGTTAGAAAAGTATTCACTGAGGCCTTAGTAGGTAATTTCTGACAGTTGCAGGAGAGGTGTCATGGAGGGTAGGGGATAAAAACCTGCTAACAGTTTAAATGATATGCTTTCTTGAAGAGTTTTCAATGATTTTTTTGAGTGAGTGGAGATTGGGTGAAATTCTTACGGAGAAGGGAAGGGCGTTCCACAGAAGAGGTGCAGCCCTGGAAAAGTCTTGGAGGCGAGCTTTGGAGGTGGGAGTACGGACAGAGGATATACGTAGGTCTTTGGCAGAGCGTAGAGGCCTCAACGGGACATACTTGTTTATTAGGGAGGATAGGTTTATAATGGAGCAGCATTATGTAGGGACTTGTAAGCGAGCACCAAAATTTTAGATTGAGCCCTATATCTAACTGGAAGCCAATGCAGGGACTGACAGAGCGGGGAGGCGTGGGAGGTGCGAGCGGACAGGAAAATGAGCCTTACTGCCGCATTCATTATAGATTGCAACGGTGCAATCTGGGAACACGTAAGACCAGTGCGAAGAGTATTGCAATAGTCCAGACGAGAGAGGACAAGAGCATGGACCAGCACCTTAGCCGCATCCAGGGTTAAAATAGGGGCGGATGTTTTTGAGATGGAAGCAACAGGATTTGGTGATTGATTGGACATGAGGAGAGAAGGAGAGGCTGGAGTCAAAAAGGACACCCAGGCAGCGAGCCTGCGAGGTAGAGGTGATGGTAGCGCCGTTATAAAATAGATGAAGAATAGATAAAAAAAAAAAATAGATAAAATGGAGAACATTTCCAGAAATGGGTAGACACCGTTTATTATAATAATAATAATTATTATTGCCATTTATATTGTGCAAACAGATTCCGCAGCGCTTTGCAATATTATGAGAGGGGGGATTTAACTATAAATAGGACTGTAGCGGGACTGCCGCTAAACTGTGAATTGCCCTGGTTTTTCTGTTATGTGTGTACTGTCTTGGCATGGGTCCTCCCTCATTTTCGTGTATTTCCCCTATCTTGATCCTATATTTTACTCTGTGTGTTCGTCTAAACTGCCTGCTCCCCGTTCGGGAGTGCCGCCACAAAAGGAATCCATTTAATCTCTTGAATGGGGACCATCATGAAACCTCATTTAGTATGTTGTTTTAGAACGTTCACACCTCGTATCGAGGTGCTAAAGCCACAAACCACAAGGGAAGCAAAAGGGGTGTGCCTTCCGTGGGTGGCCGCCATTTCGCGTGTACGAATGCCAACCAGGGGGAGCATTTGCGGATTGTGAAATCGCAAGGGAATTAATTAATGAGTGCTCCCCTGGTGACCACCATTCGTATAGACGAGCGCCATCCAAAGTAGACTCTTCCCTTGCTTGGTTTCACACGGGGACCCCGCGGAGGCTGTTCGAGGCAGGGACCGTTGTGGGGGCCCCTTGGTGTTGGTGTGGATATCCTTTGGGGACAATTGTGGGTTTGGCGGACTATCTGTACCTGGGGAACAAAGAGGCAAGGTGTTTCCCACGCTGTGCTTCCCAGGTACAGAGGTTCATGGGAAAGAAACACTAATTGGTGTGCTTTCTATGCCTAGGAGACAAAGGGACCACGATCCCTCTCCTGCGTTTTGGTTCCTAGGCATGAGGGACCCTGGGAAGAGGATCCCCTGTCACCTGAAGGGGGAACCCTGTGTTTGGGTAGCGGGGACAAAGGGACCAGAGTTCCTGTCCCGCGCTGGGACCCCGGGAGGAGGAGGATCCTGGGAGGTGACTGTTACGGAACGCCTGGCACCCCGGCTGGGTACCTTCCGCTGACGGATGCTCCTTGTGCTTCCCGAGGGCTCCAAGCACTCCACCAGACACCATAACCACCGCAGACCCCACGAACCGCCGCAGCTTGGCAGGGGTCTCACCGTCTTCCACCCACTCTGGACCCAAGACCAGGATCCAGCTTCCAGTAGGTAGACCTCTCTTAATCCAGAGAGCAGGAACTTATAGGAATCTTATAAGAGCTTAGTGATTATACTCAGGGGAGTATAAAGATTACAGCAAGTCCTCAGAGTGTAGTTCTCCAATCCCTCAAACATGAGCCAAAACTTCATGAAGGTGCAAGATGATCTGATTTATTGAGCACAAAGGCATTTCTTTTATACATATTTCCAGGCCAGAGGCACACCCCCTGGACCTGATGGTAAACTGGGACAAAAGGGACACAAACCAAAAGGAACAATAATTGGTACAGCAACACTCCCACATACAGTCAGCAATCCCTCTGTGTGATATAATTAAGCTAGCTAATGGAATAACCTAATTATCCACAGGCAGAAAATGTTACAGAAAACACCACATATCCCCACAAATCCTACATCCCTGGATAGCCCTGTTCTGGGTGAACAACATATCCAAAAATCAAACGTTTTATTGAAGTCACATTTGACCAACCGCAAGCTTGTCTTTCATGCCCAAATTAGTTCCACAGATTTAGGCTGTGCAGCTGGTCTATCTTCTCCTCTATCCTAGAGATAATTGGCTTAAGTGGCTGTGGTAACTTAATTATCTCCAGGTACAGGAAATATCTCTAAGTCAAAAACTGTTACTAAAACCACATAAAAATACATAACTCTTATAATACAATGTTTAACCTATATGTCCAACATATCCCCAGTGTCACGGGTGGCGTTACGGAAACCGGGACCACTGAGTGCCTGATGAGAAGTGGAGTCTTCAGCATGGAAGTGGATTATCAGAGCCTGGTGCAGGGTAACCATACGCCCCCTGGTGTTGAGTACCAGCGTTTGCGCGGCCACATACCAGAACCCTGATGCAGCTACAGCGGATCCCAGGAACTAGGAGCTTGATATGCAGACTGTAACGAACAGTTTTGCCCACTAGAGGTTAAAAAAAACGTTTAGGCGATATTCCCCTTTCAGATGCACAGACAGCTACTGCAAGCACCAATCTCCCGAACTGCAAACCCACGAATTCACCAACTCCTGAACTGCAACCAAGGGAATACTCGAAACTTCCGAACTGCATACCAAGTAGCACTCCAAACTCCCGAACTGGAGATACACGAATAGCTGTTAGCAGACGAACAGGAAAAGCCCCCAAGCGGCTTACACTCCAGGCAATCAGTCTCTAACAGCACACAGCTAATCACCCCCCCAAAGACAAGACAACACTTCGTTTTGAGGGTTAAGCAGAATCTGGTTTACTGGGGCTAACTGCCTGGCTTTTATGCAGGTCTCCCACCTGGTGGACACTCCCCTAGGGGACCAGATGGGAGACTGGGACACAAAGGGTACAAGAACCAATCGCAGACTTACACATTTCAACCATCCCACAATGCATCACAATCCCTCCTCTCTGTCCTGGAGATAATTGGGACGTAATCCAATTATCTCCAAGGACAGAGGCAAAACTCCATTAACCACATGGCAGAAAACAGACCGTAAAATTACATACAGTTACATTCAGTACATAAAACATACACATTCTACATATCCCGAGATAGCTTAGATCTGAGCGCACATTATTACCGAGTGGTGCTCAGATCACATACATACAGTTCAATCACATACATACAGTTCAATCGCCATGGAGCCAAAGTCTTTCACATAGTCTTTTTGTTACACGAACAGGCTCCATGGCTTAGCTATCTGGGTGATGCTGTTCATCCGGTTAAACTACTGAATGAACAGTCATTTGGTTCCGCTCTCAAATGGGAAGGGAAGGAGGCTGGCGTCTCAGTGATGTTCGCGCAATAAGTGTCCGTTTTCAGTTCCATAGTTTAGGCGCTGAACACCGCTGGCCGTTCGGGAGGTAAAATGGCTGCTGCCACGTGTTTGGCAACCGAACAAAGGCCTCCCAGCGTTCATCAATTAAGCTGCGGTTAACCTCAGCTTCTGGGAGGTCAATTGACGGCACACTCCAGTTCCCAGGTGGTCCATCGTTTGGTAGTTTGTTCGGTAGATTGAATCTACCGAACACCCTGGCAGAAAGCCACGAATAAACCTTTCAGCAGGGAAAATAACAGTTCTGAACTGCAGGGCCATAATCTAAAGGGAGCAGGCGAGCAACCAGGCTTCTCCAGTGCATAGTGGCGAGGTTGGTTCCGCCACACTGACCTCCCAGGAACTGGATAGGGGGGCTCTGCAGCAGGTTTGTATCCAGTACAGAAACAAGGCAAGACTAGAGATAGGCACCAAACATGAAAACAAGACAGAAGTAGTAGAACTCAGAACCAGAGAAGGATAGATAGCTAAACCTAGAACATGTACACAAGACACGAGGGAAACCTGAACATAACATGGACAGGACTGTACATGGACTGGGTATACAAACTAAAACAAGACAAGATAAGCAAAACAAGAGGAGAAATAACTAAGCACTATATATGAAAATCATGGGGATTTAGTCACATTATATGATCATACATTGCATAAGCCTGCCAACAACGCCAATGTACCCCATATCTGGCAGGTCCTACACTGCCTAATGTTTGCTAAAAGAACCATAAAAAACACATATATAGCACTTACCTGCAAGAAAGGGCAGAAGGCTTGAGCAGCTGCTTGCAGGACACTGAAACAAAAGGAATGATGGAAAACAAACGGGTGTGGCAACATAAAACAAACATTTAAAGGAAACCTGGACACTGGGAATTCCAGGGATGGATTACAGGAATGAACCCAGAAAAACCCAGCAGAAAGAAAACCAGACTTAGAATAGAAAACCAAAAAACCAAGAAAAACTAAACAACAATTGTAAAAAGAGTACTGGATACCAGAAGCCATCATCAGACTGATCCTCAGAACATGGCATGATGTGACACCCAGATAGCTCGGATCTGAGCGCTCAATATGTCCAATGTTAAAAGTGCCCTTTAGTACAAGGAAGACAATAGCAAGGGCTGATGAGACATTGAGGAGGGACAAAGCAGCCAGTTTCAACTGGTCTGGCAGTGTCTCTTTGACAATGCCCTGCTGGAGAACAATAGGACAGGGAAAAGTGGAAGGGGAAGAGGCATATTTTCCAGGGAAGTCACTTTTTAGCATGTCTTTTTGCAGAGCCCATAGTCTGGGGGCAGGAGGCTGGCAAGTAGTCCCCTCCAAAAACTCATGACAAACTCCCTAAAAAAGGGAGTTTGTCACAGTGACAGTGTCCATGTGTGGTGTCCACCCCTTGCATGGGGAAAAGTATAAAGCCGCGTGTGGCCAATAAAGTGGTTGTTATACCCCTGGAACTGTGTCGTCCAGTTACTGGGGCAGGGGGAGGGAATGGGTCTCTTCCTTCACTAATAGCGGAGGTAACCCGCTATTCAAAATCAGTCTGGCGGCAGCATTCATTACAGACTGTAGCGGGGCAATACGGCTTTTGGGAAGACCAATTAGGGAGAGGGTTACAATAAAAACTGTATTTGGCAACATACTGGATGTGAGTCTCAAAGGTGAGGCCAGAATCAAGTATGACGCCAAGACAGTGCACTTGCAAGGATGGACTTCTGTGGATACCACAAACTTGAAGGGAGAGTGAAAGAGGAGGATCAGTATTAGGAGGAGGAAAGACAAAGAGCTCAGTTTTAGAGAGATTGAGTTTCAGAAAGTGGAAGGACATCCAGTCAGAGATGGAAGAAAGGCAAGCAGTGACACATTGCAGGATGGCAGGGGAGAGGTCCGGGGAGGAGAGATATATCTGGGTGTCATCAGTGTACAGGTGATAGTGGAAGCCAAGAGAGGCAGACTAAAGAGAAAATATAAGGAGACCAAGGACTCCAACCGAGACAGGACAAGGGGAGGAAGTATCATTAGAAAAGGAGACACTGAGTGAGCATTGGGAGAGATACAAGGATAACTACGAGAGGACAGAGTTCTAGAGACAGTGATTAAAGAGTTTGAAGAAGGAGAGTATGATCAACGGTGTCAAAGGCAGCAGAGAGGTCAAGAAGAATTAGTATGGAGTAGTGGCCTTTTGGATTTAGTTGCGATTAAGTCGTTGGTAACTTTGGTAAGAGCAGTCTCAGTAGAGTGGAGAGGGCGGAAGCCAGATTGAAGAGTGCCAAAGAGAGAGTTGGAATTGAGGAAGTGAGACATACGGGTAAAGACAAGTCTTTCCAGAAGCTTTGAGGGAAAAGGTAGCAGGGATATGCGACAATAATTTGAGGGGGGAGAGGGGGTCAAGGGATGTTTTTTTTTTTTTTTTTTCTTCAAGATTGGTAATACAGTGGCATGTTGAAGGTCAGCAGGGACAACGCCAGAAAAGAGAGAGCAGTTGAAGGCACAAGACAAGGGGAGAGAGACGTGATAAGGTGAGATGGGACAGGAATCAAATTAATTTCAAATGAAGGGGTGGGGGGTGGGTAGAGGTTTGAAGGAGCAGTGAGGTGAGAAGAAAAAACCCTTCACCACCACCTTTACATTCAGTGTCTTGGGTTGTGGGTAAGTTGAAGACCACCAAAGGACAAAGATGCAGTGGTAGCAGTGTCAGAGGGGCAGAGCCATGTTTCTGTTAAGGCTAGTAAATCTATGGAATGAGAGATGAAGAGGTCGTGGACAGCAGTGGATTTCGTAATATTGCATACAGAGCGTGCATTCCAGAGGGCAGTATTGAAGGAGGATTTAGAGGTAGAGTAACATGAGATGAGTATGTGAATTGTGTGGTTCCTTGAGTTGGTACGTGGTGGGTTTGCCGAGATGGGACCGGGGTTTGGAGAGACACCACCAACTGCTAGGAGCAGAAGGATAGAAAGAAAGTGAAGGTGGGAGTAGGATTTGAAAGTTTTGTAAGAGGGTATGGATATGGAGGATTTGGGAGCAGTTGGAGCAGATAAGCTGGAAAGGTATGTGCATGGGATGAACAGAGAGGGGAGGGGAGTAAAGTGGAAGTAATGAAGATGGTGTTACCAGGGACCGATTGAGCAGAAGGATAGGGATATTTTAGTAACAAGAGAAGTTAGTGTGAAAGTGAAAAATAGAAGGGAGAACATTTAGAGAAAATCTGTTTTGTTATATAGACATTAATATTATACATAATTCACATAGATATATATATATATACACACATAGATGTTTATTAACATGAGACTCCTCAGAAATTCAAAGTTAACTTCAAAGTTTAGGCCAAAGTATCCAAACTATAAACATAATTGACTTGCGAATTAGACTATTGTAGCCTAAACATTTTAATTTCAATTCCACAAAATTCCCTCTTTGTTGAATAACCTCATGTGGTATTGTGGCATCTAAGTATCTCAGTGCTGCTAGGTGTGCCAGTTGGACATTACTGTTCTGAAATGAAGGCAATAAGCATTAGGAGTATAAAGGAACTGTTCTGTTGACAGACTGTTTTCTTTTTTCCAGATTCCTTTGGATTATGACGATATTGCAATTTACTTCACCAAAGAGGAATGGGATTGTTTAAAAGAAGAAGACAGAAAATTATACAAAGAGGTGATGATGGAGAATTACCAGACACTCCAAATCCTTGGTAAATTATCAGAGTCTGTATCTGCACTTTTAAAGATTATTTTAACAATGCAAACCAGTATGAAGTTTCCTTTCAAAGGGAAACTCCAATCACCATAACTATTACATGCCGTTCTAATGGTTATGGGGACAGGAGTACTCTGGTAAGTAGTAGAACTATTTTTTTAGAATGGATTGGCCACTTAACCAGGTTCCTGGTGGGTGCCTGTGCCATCTTCGAACTCTTGCTAAAGTAGAAGCCAGGTGACTATTCATCGAAGCATGGCAGATCCAGGACGTTCCTCATAGGTTAAGAGTGCTCAGCTGATGTGCTTAACCAGTGAAATGCGGTCCTGCGTTGCTCTGCTCACCTATATAGCGCTTTCTCCAATAGAAGACCCAAAGCTGGCGCTGCTGACACAGTATCCTGGCAGGACCCAGGTAAGCTGGCAAACTGTACTAAAATGTTTTGAGAAAAAAATGTGTTACTGATACATCGTGCATTATCATTTAAGATATGTGCCCTCCCAACACACTCTTAATGCAGATCAACCAAAGAAATAGTAGCTGTCTTCACCTCAAACAGCTGAGCACCAGGAGATTGTTGAATCCAAAGGAAACCGGTGAGTAACAATCCTTTATATTCAGTTTAGCGACCAGCTTTATTTCAAACCATTGCTACCCGGATTCTGGTGAATCTGACGTCCCTATGGAGGACTGATGTTAACCTACAATGATCTCCATGGCTTAATCTTCCTGGTGTTCAGCTGTGTTTGAGGGGTAGACAACTACTCCATATGGTAATATGTTGGTAGGTCACATATTTTGAATGATATTGTACTATGTATCTATCTGCTTATTTTATGCTAACAGAATATTCTGACTATGCTTTTTAATACTATTTGTGCACCATTTATACATTTTGTTTTTCATTTTGATTTGCTTATTGATGCATAGCATAGTTGGTTGCTCCATATTATTGTAAAAGCACTGTTCTTCCAAACATATAGTGGCTGTACCATAGGGGATGATGTTCTTCTATGGGGACAGGTAACCTTAAAATGTAATATTATTTTTAATTAAAACCACTCCTCCTAAAATTTTAAATACCTTGTAGATTTGGTACACCTCAGTTCTTACTTGTCCCGCTAGTGGGATGGACAGACAACTCGACAAGCAGGTTGGTTGAACAGCGCGGGTTGGTGACGAGGGAGGCATTTGGAGCTGAGTTATCCAGTGATATTGTCAACTCCCGGGCAAAATTGTCCAACTGGTTGTCCGAAGAAGGAGGCACGAGAAGCGAAATATACTGGAGGTGTTAGATATTACAGAACCTGACCCGGGGGGTGGTTTTTATCGTGGCAGCTTCTGCACGCAGGCACAGTATGTTGGAACGCATACTCATGTAGCCGTGTGTTCCAATGTATGTTTGTTGCGCTACTAAGCATGCGCAAACAGAGTCACGCAATCTGGCACCATATTTGAAATATATATTTTAAATATATATCTTAACATGGATCTTGTTATAGTCGTGACTTAAATATGAATATTAATTTAATAATTAATATATAATAATTAAGCAACAAATAACAACATTAATAGAGTTCGGTATTATGGTCGAATATATAATAGGAAATACACAAAACATTGTAGTATTAAATGTATATTTAATATAATTATAATAACAATTAAACAAATGCTAGCAGAATGTCAATTTACCACAATAATTACACAATACAAAACTACAACATTACTTACAAAAGGCTATAACAGTTCCTAGCTGTTATAATAGATTACTTACACGGCTCCAGCCTGTTTGGCTGGAGCTATACACACAGCTACATGTTCAATCAATGCAAGCAAAGAAAAAGGAGGCTGAAAATCCTTCTACTATTTGGTTTTATCCAGTAAGTAGGCTGGCCTGTGATGTCACTGCCGGAAGCACATGAGTTAGCACACTGACCCCTAGTGGTGCCTCTAAAGCATTAAGCTCATTATGCTTTACTGACATCTAGTGGTGCGTCTAAAGCATTAAGCTCATTATGCTTTTTTTATGACAAAAAGTCATTAATAAATACCATTACAGATCTTAACATGTATAGCTTGTAGGAAAGACGAGACAGGGGGGATATGATAAAAACATTTAAATATATAAAGGGAATCAACACAGTAAAGGAGGAGACTATATTTAAAAGAAGGAAAACTACCACAACAAGAGGACATAGTCTTAAATTAGAGGGACAAAGGTTTAAAAATAATATCAGGAAGTATTACTTTATTGAGAGGGTAGTGGATGCATGGAATAGGCTTCCAGCTGAAGTGGTAGAGGTTAACACAGTAAAGGAGTTTAAGCATGCGTGGGATAGGCATAAGGCTATCCTAACTATAAGATAAGGCTAGGGACTAATGAAAGTATTTAGAAAATTGGGCAGACTAGATGGGCCGAATGGTTCTTATCTGCCGTCACATTCTATGTTTCTATGTTTCTAAATAGCCTAGCTACTTAAAGACTGATAAACCTGACTGACTACATGGTCTATGTCACATCAGGAATACCTTGTCCACTAGCTGTCCCACGTGGTCTGCGGTTTTGGGGAGGGGGTTTACGGTAGGAGCTAAGCCTCTTTTACTTAAAACAAAATGTTCTGGTAAGAAAGAGTTCTCTCGCTAATTTTCCTTTTGCACTCCATTTTATTTTATCAGATATCTAGCCCAGTAACACACAGAGAAAGGAGAAAAGAGTGTAGCAGCCCCACAGCCTCTGAAAAAGCCACACAGAAAACCAATACTGCTCCTAGATGGATGCAAAATCAAATATTGTAACCAATGCGCTGAAAGAATCTATGTAAAAGGAAATATTATGGTTCCTAGCATGGTTCAATGATTTACAACAAACATTTGCTGACTTTAAAGAGGCAGCATCACAGAAAATGTCCTGTCAGAGGGGAAAAATTCCTCTGACTTATCTGCTAGAAAGTGTTTTTAGTTGTTATTATTGGAATTTATATAGCGCCAGCAGATTCAGTCAGGGCCGGCCCATCCATAGCCCGTCATGGTGCCACGGCTCCAGGCGGCACTCTGACAGGGTCGGCGGCTTTCTATTTGGGAAAGTTAGGCAGCTGCCTGACTCGCCACTGGGCAGACAGACTGTGTCAGGTCCTCGGTCCCTCACCGAGGACCCAACACCTGGAGGGGCCCGGCAGCTTGCCCTGTATGCCGCCGGGTGCGAGGCCCCTCCAGTCTGCCCTGAGAGGCAGAGAGCCAGCACAGCTTGCAGCCCTGCCGGGTGTGAGCTGCAGACTGTGCTGTATCTTGTGATCTCTGGCCAATCCGTGTTACCGCGGGTCACCATGGCAACGCTCTGACTTCTGGATATTGCGAGACACTGCACAGTCTGCAGCTCACACCCAGCGGGGCTGGCTCTGCCTCTCAGGGCTGACTGGAGTGACAGCCCACCGGACCACCAGGGGAAAAAACTATAAGGTATTTTTTAAATTTACAATCCTCTCCCTCACTATCACCCCCTCCCTCCCTCAGTCACTCTGCCACCTTTCACTCCCTCCCAGTGGCGTCGCTAGGGGGGGGGGGCAGAGGGGGCCATGGCCCACCCTATATCATGCTGTGCCCGCCCAAATGCTGGCAACTTGCTGGCCATGTTAAATTCTATTCCCTCGGACTGTAACAGTGTGTCACAGCCCAAGGGAATGCAGGGCAGAGCAGCTGGAGCGGTGGGTGCTGTCTGTGCAGAGATGCTGGGGCCAGAGAGAGCATTGACAGGCTCCCTGCCACAGGCTCTGCCCCCAAACGAAGCCCCACCTCCTGCACCTAAGCCACGCCCCCACCGTTAAGCAGCAGACCTTGCTGCTGTTGGAAAGGCCTAGCAACAGCCTCCAGTGAAAGGTAGGCTTGGTGTGTGTGTGTGTATGTATGGACTCAGCAGTCTGTGTGTGTGTGTGTGTGTGTATGGACTCAGCAGTCTGTGTGTGTGTGTGTGTATGGACTCAGCAGTCTGTATGTGTGTGTGTATGGACTCAGCAGTCTGTGTGTGTATGGACTCTGTGTGTGTATGGACTCTGCAGTCTGTGTGTGTATGGACTCTGCAGTCTGTGTGTGTGTGTATATGGACTCAGCAGTCTGTGTGTGTGTAAGGGACTCAGCAGTCTGTGTGTGTATGGACTCAGCAGTCTGTGTATGGACTCTGTGTGTGTATGGGCAGTCTGTGTGTGTGTGTGTATGGACTCAGCAGTCTGTGTGTGTGTGTGTGTGTGTGTATGGACCCAGCAGTCTGTGTGTGTGTATGGACTCAGCAGTCTGTGTGTGTGTGTATGGACTCAGCAGTCTGTGTGTGTGTGTGTATGGACTCAGCAGTCTGTGTGTGTGTATGGACTCAGCAGTCTGTGTGTGTGTGTGTGTCTGAGTGGAGTCTGTGTGTGTGTATGGACTCAGCAGTCTGTGTGTGTGTATGAACAACAGTCTGTGTGGTATGCGAATGGACTCAGCAGTCTGTGTGTGTGGACTCTGCAGTCTGTGTGTGTGTGGACTCAGCAGTCTGTGTGTGTGAATGGACTCAACAGTCTGTGTGTATGAACTCAGCAGTCTGTGTGTGTATGAACTCAGCAGTATGTGTGTGTGTGATATGGACTCCAGCAGTCTGTGTGTGTGTGAAACCCACACTGTGTGTGTGTATGGACTCAGCAGTCTGTGTGTGTGTGTGTGTATGGACTCAGCACGTTTGTGTGTGTGTATGGACTCAGCAGTCTGTGTGTGTGTATGGACTCAGCAGTCTCTGTGTGTGTATGGACTCAGCAGTCTCTGTGTGTCTATGTGTGTGTATGGACTCAGCTTGGTCTGTGTGTGTGTGTGTATGGACTCAGCAGTCTGTGTGTGTGTGTGTGTGTATGGACTCAGCAGTCTGTGTGTGTGTATGGACTCAGCAGTCTGTGTGTGTGTGTGTGTGTGTGTGTGTATATGGACTCAGCAGAGTCATGTGTGTATGTGTATGGACTCAGCAGTCTGTGTGTGTGTGTATGGACTCAGCAGTCTGTGTGTGTGTGTGTATGGACTCAGCAGTCTGTCTGTGTGTGTGTGTATGGACTCAGCAGTCTGTGTGTGTATATATGGACTCAGCAGTGTGTGTGTGTGTGTGTGTATATATGGACTCAGCAGTCTGTGTGTGTGTATATGGACTCAGCAGTCTGTGTTAACATTTGGACTGTCTCACTGCTACTTGATTCTTATCAAATATTTACTAGCATTTAAAAAAATCTAGCATTGGATTTCCTTAACGTAATATACGTAATCTGTGTGTGTGTGTGTGTGTGTATGGACTCAGCAGTCTGTGTGTGTCTGTGTGTGTGTGTATGGACTGAGCAGTCTGTATGTGTGTGTATGGACTCAGCAGTCTGTGTGTGTGTATGGACTCAGCAGTCTGTGTGTGTGTATGGACTCAGCAGTCTGTGTGTGTATGGACTCTGCAGTCTGTGTGTGTATGGACTCTGCAGTCTGTGTGTGTGTGGACTCAGCAGTCTGTGTGTGTGTATCGGACTCAGCAGTCTGTGTGTGTGTATGGACTCAGCAGTCTGTGGTGTATGGACCTGCAGTCGTGTGTGTGTATGGACTCGCAGTCTGTGTGTGTATGACTCTGCAGTCTGTGTGTCGTATGGACTCTCTGCAGTCTGTGTGTGTATGGACCTGCAGTCTGTGTGTGTGTATGGACTCTGCAGTCTGTGTGTGTGTGTATGACTCAGCAGTCTGTGTGTGTGTATGGACTCAGCAGTCCGGTTGTGTGTGTGTGTATGGACTCAGCAGTCTGTGTGTGTGTATGGACTCAGCAGTCTGTGTGTGTGTGTATGGACTCAGCAGTCTGTGTGTGTGTGTGTGTGTGTGTGTGTGTTATGGACTCAGCAGTCTGTGTGTGTGTATGGACTCAGCAGTCTGTGTGTGTATGGACTCAGCAGTCTGTGTGTGTGTGTGTGTGATATGGACTCAGCAGTCTGTGTGTGTGTATGGACTCTGCAGTCTGTGTGTGTATGGACTCTGCAGTCTGTGTGTGTATGGACTCAACAGTCTGTGTGTGTATGGACTCTACAGTCTGTGTGTGATATGGACTCAACAGTCTGTGTGTGTGTATGGACTCAGCAGTCTGTGTGTGTGTATGGACTCACAGTCTGTGTGTGTGTGTGTGTGTGTATAGATACAGCAGTCTGTGTGTGTTTGTATGGACTCCAGCAGTCTGTGTGTGTGTGTGTATGGACTCAGCAGCAGTCTGTGTGTGTGTGTGTATGAACTCAACAGACTCTGTGTGTGTGTGTATGGACTCAACAGTCTGTGATGTGTACGGACTCAGCAGTCTGTGTGTAATGTGTATGGACTCAACAGTCTGTGTGTATGTGTATGGACTCAACAGTCTGTTTGTGTGTATGTGTGTGTGTGTATGGACTCAGCAGCCTGTGTGTGTGTATGGACTCAGCAGCCTGTGTGTGTGTATGGACTCAGCAGCCTGTGTGTGTGTATGGACTCAGCAGTCCTGTGTGCTGTGTATGGACTCAGCAGACTGTGTGTGTGTGTATATATGGACTCAACTTACGGTCTGTGTGTTGTATATGGACTCAACAGTCTGTGTTAACATTGGACTGTCTCATGGACTCGCAGTCTGTGTGTGTGTGTGTGTATATGTGTGTATGGACTAAACAGTCTGTGTGCGTCATGGACTCAGCAGTCTGTGTGTGTACATGGACTCTTCTGTGTGTGTGTGTGCGCATGGACCTCAGCAGTCTGTGTAGTGTTTATGTACTCGCAGTCTGTAACGCATACTCACAAGTCAGTGTGCGCATGAACCTCAAAGCAGTCTGTGTAGTATGGACTCAGCAGTCTGTGTGTATGACTCAGCAGAGTCTGTGTGTAAAGAACTCAGCAAGTCTGTGTGTGTAGACTCAGCAGACTCTCAGTGTGTATGGACTCAAAAGCAGTCTGTGTGTGTGTATATACTCAGCAGTCTGTGAGTGTATGGACTGCAGTCTGTGTGTCTCATGGACTCAGCAGTCTGTGTGTGTGTGAATGTGTGTATGGACTCAGCAGTCTGTGTGTGTGTATGGACCAGCAGTCTGTGTGTATGGACTCTGCAGTCTGTGTGTGTGTGTGTGGTAATGACCCAGCAGTCTGTGTGTGTGTGTATGGACTCAGCAGTCTGTCTGTGTGCGCGAATGGATCAGTAGTTCGTGTAAGCGCACCCTGTGCAGTCTGTGTGGTATGGATCACAGTCTGTGTGTGTGTGATGGACTCAGCAGTCTGTGTGTGTGTGTATGGACTGCATCTGTGTGTGTGTGTGTATGGACACTCAGCAGTCTGTGTGTGTGTGTGTGCGCCTGTGTGTGTGTGTATGGACTGCCAGAGTGTGTATGTGTGTGTACTAGCAGCTGTGTGTGTGTGTGTATGTGTATGGACTTCTGTGGTGTGTATGGACTCAGCAGTCTGTGTGTGTGTGTGTGTATGGACTCATCTGTGTGTGTGTGTGTGTGATGGAATCCTTCTGTGTGTGTGTGTGGAGGTCTGTGTGTGACTATGTGTTGTGTCTGTGTGTGTGTGTATGACTCAACAGTATGTGTGTGTGTGTGTGTGACTTCTGTGTGTGTGTGTGTGTTGTGTATGGACTCAGCAGTCTGTGTGTGTGTGTATATATGGACTCAGCAGTCTGTGTGTGTGTATATGGACTCAGCAGTCTGTGTTAACATTTGGACTGTCTCACTGCTACTTGATTCTTATCAAATATTTACTAGCATTTAAAAAAATCTAGCATTGGATTTCCTTAACGTAATATATATGGGCATTTTTATGGTGACCTATGTACATTAACCCCTTAAGGACTAAACTTCATGTCACACATGTCATGTGTCCTTAAGGGGTTAAACACATGATTTTCCTACATTTATATACTTCAACAGTCTGCACTATTGTGTGTGTGTGTGTGTGTGTGTGTTTATGCTTTTTTTTAATATAAATGCTGTGAGATGTCTCGATCTGGTGCCCTCTACTGATTAATAGGTATAACTACAGCACCTCAATTTCCAGTCCATTTGATTTGCTCTTGAAAATGCAATTAAATTGGCAGCAGGAGCTATGGGCCTAATCTCAGTAGCCAGGAGAGCAGTCTTACTCAAAACCTGGTAAGAGTCCTGGTAATAAGACAGATTTTGGTACCAAATAAAAAAATAAAAAATAAAGAATGAAGTGGAACAAGAAACCATTCTATCGAAGACAAAACCAACTGTTTTTTTTCTCTAAGGAGAACAGATTTCGTCCTTTTCGTAAACAAAATTGCATATTCGCCAAACAGGTGTTGGTTCCCAGAACTCCTGGAACTCACAAAGAACAGCATTTGGAAACTTCAGGTAGAACTACAGTTGTTGGAGCACAAGAAAATTCCACTAGAAACTCTTCTAATGTTCAAACTCACGGCTTGGCTTCTGCAAGAATCATTCTGGAAAAACAACACATTTCAAATATTTAAATAAGGTCCTCCTTAAAGGGAAACTATAGGCTAGGAATACAAAATTATATTCCTAGCCTATAATGCCCCTCTCTCTTGCGGTCCCTTGAATCAATGCATCTCTATGAGGAAATTCAGTGTCTCCACACAGAGGGTGGAGACACTGAATGGCAGTGCTGCACACTATGCAGCATTAACCCAGGAAGCACCTCCAGTAGCCATCTGAGGATTGGCTATTGGAGATATCCCTAAGCTGTAATGTAAACATTTTTTTAAAGCCATCTGGCAGTTGCACCTCCTGAGATGTTTCTTTAGTACTCATTCCTTATGTGAAATTCCATGAAAATTTCTTCAAGAAATGCCACTGAATTTTTTATCAGATAAGGTCGCATCAGCATCCGAAAAATACTCAATTTTCAATCAAGGCAAGATTAATCTGCATTTAAATCCTTTCCACATCAATCAGATGATTGTTCTTCCATCACTTTATCAAATCTATTATCCCCTAAGGAATCCAGACTCCTTGGTTGCCAAGTGTGGAGTTCAAACTTTTCTGGACAGGACAGCTACTTTCCACAGATCAGCACACCTTCTTATCAATTTCAAGTGTTCGTCAAAAATACAAGTAGCTTCTAAATTCACTATTGCCAAATTGGATTAACGAAACCATCAAGTGCACATATTAAGCTCTTGGGGTAACTCTTTCGATGAAAATCAAGGTTCATTCTACTCGCATAATCTTGCTTAATCCATATGTTACTGCTGCTGTAAATTTGGAAATCAAGAGATTTTACTTAGCGTAAATTATTTATTTTCTGTAGTGTTATCGGCAGTACACGATTCCCTCTCATTTTTGCAGTCAAATTGTGTTTTTTGGTTATGCCACTGTACTTTCCTCATCGTCCCGCCTCCCCCCCCCCAGGCAGTGTACTCGAATCATTGCTCTGCATTATGCAATATGGGGGGTCCACAGCAATGCATCGCATGTGGACGTCCAGTGTCAGGCAACCAACATTTGACCACGTAGCACTTTATAAAAGTGTACGCCCACTATAAATCATCACCTTTATTACCTTATTTAGTAGTTATTTGTACTATAATGGTTGAACTCCTGTCACCATAACTACTACAGCTGCAGTGTAGTGGGCAGTGTTCTTCTGACCCAAACACAGGAAGGATTATTCACTAAAGGGAGAATTCAAAGTTAATTTCAAATGTAAGACCAGAGTAGCTGATAGAAAAACATGGCTGAAATAGAGAATTTTTCCAGTTTGATTATTTTGACCTTAAGTTGTAAATTCACTTGCAATTCACTTTCAATTCTCATTAGTGAATAACCCGGTTAATATTTTCTCCCAGTTTTATACATGTCACATATTTAGTTGTTGTACTTGGGAGATTTATGATGTAATCATTGTGTATTTACCCATTCAGGTTATGCCGATATGAAGCCGGCGGTTATATCTCACATTGAGCAAGGAGAGGAACCGTGCATTAAAGATTACCCTCCCCCTGGTGAAAATCTGTTTGGGTTGAACTCCAGAATTGGTGAGATGTAATGTTTAGTTGGCAATCCACAGTAACCACACACATGTAGAATGGATCTGTACACCAACATTGTGTTAGACAGCCGACTGGAATCTGGAATTGGGAGAACAACTTCAGGAGACACAGCTTGAAGGATGAAAGGCAGATTAAATCCAGGCACTAGACTTATTTACAAATCCTTTTCACCTGCGACTATTAAATCAAATTCATATTAATCTACACCTAAACAAATCGATCCGTCCGGGATTTACATTTGGGATTTGTTCAGGTGCAGATTAACAAGAATTTGATCTGTTCATAGTATTATGAACTAAGCAAGTACTGGAACTGCCTCTTCTTAATTTAGTAGTTTTATTTCCTGTACTTTTTCTCTGACAAATGTAAACATTGCCTTTTCTGTTAAACAGTCTTGTTAATATGTCGGTGAACATACCTGTAGTGGCCATCAGACTACCAGCCACTAGCGGTATTTCCACATTAAAAGCTTCAAATATTGAAGGTCTTTACTTCTGATGTTGTTACACTGTTAATGTTTCTTCAACTGGTGGAGCCTGGCAATTGCCGCACATGTGCAGTTGACCTCCTACATGACAAGTATTGGATTAAAAGGACACTATAGTCACTAAAACAACTTTAGCTTAATGAAGCATTTTTGGTGTACAGATCATTGCTCAATTCTCTGCCATTTAGGAGTTAAATCACTTTGTTTATGAACCCTAGTCACACCTCCCTGCATGTGACTTGCACAGCCTTCCTAAACACTTCCTGTAAAGAGTAATCTAAAGTTTATCCTTCCTAGTGCAAGTTATTTTTAGACCCTGGAAGAGCCTCCTGTGTGTGATTAAAGCTCAATTTACAGAGAAAGAGATACAGTTGTTTAAGGTAAATTACATCTATTTGAAAGTGAAACCAGTTGTTTTTTTTTGTCGATCAGAGTCAGGGGAGGTTTGACAAGAGCTGTATAAACAGAAATAAAGTGATTTAACTCCTAAATGGCAGTGAGTTGAGCAGTGAAACCTGAGAAGCATGATCTATACACTAAAACTGCTTCATTAAGCTAAAGTTGTTTAGGTGACTATAGTGTTCCTTTAAACCATGTTTATCCTTTAGTGTTTAAAAATTAAACACACTGAAGCTAGAATACATGGCTCTAATACATCTTTACAATTAATAATACAAATGTAGTTGTCTTTTAATTATTTGTGTCTCCTGTTCATCCTTCAAGCAGTGTAGTGTGTTCATATCAGATTGGTATCATGAGATCAATAGCATTTCTTGAAAATATACTGTTGCTCGTGACATTTATAGAAATTACGACGAGGATTTGTTACCTCTCTCTGTTGTAAACTAAATTTCGCTTTCACAAAAATGAAATTCTCCTGCAAGAAGTTAAGACTGTACATATAACAATAGTAAATGCTATTATTTTTCAGACACCTTTTCAATATATATATATATATATATATATATATATATATATATATATATATATATATATATACACACACACACACACACACTTATTTGCTGCATTTAATGAGTTAAAATATTCTAAAATGAAAAATAACGGAATCTGTTTTTTTGTATGTACGTTAACGGCTGCAAAATTAACCAAAAAAATACATCCTGTGTCTTTTTGCAGAATACTTTCTCTTTTTTTTTTTTATTCTTTATTTTTGCTGTGCCAGAAATAACAAAACATGTTTATGATGCCACGACTGCAATAACAAGCAAGGTAGTGTCGTACAATATAAGACAGTTGCATGGCAAACAGAGTAAGTAAGCACACATTTTTTTGGGGGGTTAGCAAAACAGTTAGGTCTAACGTGCCTAAGCAGATTACTGTATACAGATAGTCGGCAGATAGTGTATCGAAGACACAGATATTCTCAAGGTTAAAGATAGAGACATGCATATATCAACATGAATTTTAAACAGGGAAATTTCCCAGGGAGGCCCCTGACTAGTTGCATGTGGTAAAAAGTGTGCCAGGGGTGATACCAGAGATTAGGAAAAAGATGCTGGAGTGTAGTGTCACAGGAGTTCAAGGGTGTATGAGAGTTGTGTCACAAAAGGGCAACAGCTCGTCTTTATGCAGCCCTGGCACCTGTATCAGCCTATGCCGGATAGTGATATTGCATTGTCCTGTGGTTTTAAGAGGAACGGTGGTCCTCTGAGTCTCTGTGTGCGCCCACAGGTTGTTCCTTGTGACCAGATTGGGGTTATTCCTGGCACCGTAGTTTGTTGATGGGTCTCTGTGATGGGCCGCAGCGCGACCCTCTTGGTAGCTTTCCTGCGCCGGATCGGTGAGCTCTTCGCGGTTCGCCGCCATGTTGGGGGCCTGCGTGCTGCTGGAGCCACAGGCTGCTGCTTGGTGTGTATTTGCCGTGGTGTAGAGCAGCTACCCGGTTGTTTGGAGGAGGGGTGCTGTATCCTGCTCTCCACTCTCTGCCAGAAAGCTTCAAAGATTTTGTCCAGTCTGGACAGGACATCTTGCCTTTCCCCCGTGTTGCTGGGGATCCTCGTGGCAGCCGCCATCTTAGGTAAGTCGTCGGGTTGTGTGTGAGCTGGCATGGCTTCACCCCATGGTTCTGTGCCAACAGGGCAGCCTCCCAGGGGTGGACCGGGATCACCACCACTGGTCCAGAGGGGGGGGGAAACGGGGCATCTGTTTTCCAGTAAGTGCTGTCGTGTAGCCCCAGACCGTGTGATCGGCCGCTTCTCCCTCCCAGTGCAACCTAGGCCGCATGTTCCGAGACGTGCCACAGATGGGCTCACGTCGAATCTTTGGGCCCTGCAGTGTTTCTCAGCTGGAGCAAGTAGTAGGTGAGGCCCTGGATTCGACCCAAATCAACCTGGGTTAGGCAAAAGTTTGCTTATTAGTCGGTATAGGAGAGGAGCTCCCTCAATACACGTCTCTCCTCCATGCCTGTCAGGTCCCGCCCCCCGAATACTTTCTTTTTTATTATTGTGTACACACATACTATATCACAGTAAATTCTTATAATTTCACATCTGGTATTTTTACGCTGTTATGCAGCCTTTTTGTTGACCATATTCTGTCAAATGTTGTGTATTGCGTTCTTGCTGTTGAGTCTGAGATGCGTTCACTACGTAAATCCATGCATACGTGTGCAAGGTTTGGGGATTGGTTAGGATCATTCCGATTTCAGTTTCCAAACATGGAACCTTGACAGATGGTATTGCCAGTGAAACATCTCTTTAATGAGACTGTCCCGAAGCCCACCAACTAAATTCAACTGAAATGATATCACGTTCAAAGAACACTTCCCAGTGTATTGTACATAAAGCACTTAAAATCGTAAAGGCAATGCCAGAAGGCAAAATACCTATTTGGTGGTGGGAAAAAGACACATACATTGTGCTGTGACACAAATGGGAAAACAAAAAACTAAAGAGGCACAAACGAAATGGTGGGGGGAAAATAAAAAGTTTCAATTGATTGTTCACGTCAGGGGAAAAAAACTGTGTAATTCATTCTCCAACATTTTGATAAATCTAGCTGTTTTGTCCCATACATTTTATCTATGTTTCTGAAACTGGTGTAGTGTACAGAGTCTGTCCTTGGGGAAGATATGGAAAGGTTAATGCTTCTTTTTTCCTGAAGGAGATTCATCTAAAGCAAGCAAGCGCGGGACAGCACAATCAGGAAGAGCGGTTAGGTTTACATTTGAGGAGAATACAGCACTGGTCACAAAAGTCATCAAGTATTACAATTCGATTACTGGTGTGTCGGCTTCTAAAATCTCCTCCTCCAAGAAGAAGGCCATTTGGAAGATCATTGTTGATGCTGTTAATGCAGTCGGAGGTCATGGGCGTTCCATGAAAGTCTGTAAGAAGAGGTACCATGACATTAAGAGACATCTGAAGAGGAAGTTGTCCAGAGCTTCAAAACAAACCCATGTAATCGGTGGTGAGGAGTATGACGCAGACTTGAACCCATATGAAGAGGAACTGAGACAGATTCTGGGATCTGAGATTCTTCTTTGTGTCAATGGAGATGTGGATACAGACCGATTGCATGGTAAAGAAAAATAGGTTTTTAATGATCATATCCTAATACATTAGTGCAATGTACATTTACAATGTAATAGTTAAATATTTATAGTCCCCAAAAACTATAGCTTAATGAAGCCGTTTTTGTGCACTCATTGCTGCTTTTCTCTGTAAATTATATAGTTTATCGCCAATATAAATCAGGAAAACTCCAATCAGAAAAATTCATATTTTTTTCTTCTTCTTCCCAGCACTGAAACAACGAAGAAGATGTGCCTACCAGAGAGCACTGGCATCTTGGCCCACGGAAACATCGGAAGACTCTTCTGATTCACTCTCACTACAGAGGTCAAATTCTTTACAACAACTGGACATGTCAATATCTTCTGATGGATCTGGTAATTGCTCTCTTAAATCGAAGATTTATCGAAATATGGTAAAGGAAAAAAGGAGGAGCATGGATTTATAATGGTAACCGATAACTGAGGATGTCTGTCTAGTCTAATAAAGTAGCATCATGCTGCTGATTTAATGGATCTTCTTCCCATTTGCCCTAGATCAGGGTTATTCACTAAATTGAGATCTCAAGATTTCTAAGTGAATTTCAAGTTAAAGTTTAAATTGGAAAAATTCTCTAATTGAGCTTGGCTTTCAGTTCAGCTACTCTGGCCTGAAAGGAACACTATAGTGTTAGGAGTATACCCCCGCAGAGAGACCCTAACATTGAAATAAAGTGTTCTCAGTGCCTGCAGTGTCCATATAGCTTTTAAAAAAATAACCCTGCATGTATTATGCCTCGTTTACCGCATTTCTATAAATATTGCAGATTGCATTCCGATATTTTCAAATGTAATCACACTTACTAAATATTGTCTGCTATTCCATAATGCTCTCTCTAGCATTGAGCAGGCCCCTCAACCCCTCTGTTACTGTCTGGTTACAATTACATGTCTGTTAGTCCACCCATAGTACAGCGTTACGGAATTTCTTAGCACTTTATAAATGGCGATGATTATAATAATAATCCTCAGGGATAAGTCATGTATAAATACTTGCCTAAACTTGTGTTGACTGTGAATGAGAGACAAACTAATTTTTTTTTTAAATGCTAGTAATTTTGAAGAGAAGAACTCTTGTTTTGTGTGAATGTTTTGTATTTGTTTTGTTGTGTGAATGTTTTGTATTTGTTTTGTTTAGTGAATGTTTTGTATTTGTTTTGTAGATTTATCACAGGACCTCTTAGTAGAATTTGAGTACAACAAAGTGCATGTTGCTGACAAGCCTGCTGAATTTACACAATCTTGTAAGTAGATATATTTCACGAAGTAAAGAAACACTTGCGAGTGTTGAATAAAGATATATATATATATATTTTTTTTTTTCTGAAAAACCTTATGATTACGAATGCGTAGAACCTGCCTTACTCTACGTGATTAATTTTGCCATCTCCTACCAATTCCCATCAATCTTGATGAGCTTTTAGCAAAACCCGATGGCCAGAAAAAGCAGACTAATCGACCGGTGCATTGGCTTGCCAAGAGATCCCTGTTTTTTGACAGACTGATGCAAAACAATTTGACAGAAAATGGACACCAAAGACTCGTAGCATCATGACCACAGTGAGCGCTAGTGTTTGTGGTTGGACTGACATATTAAAGAGAAACTCTCCTTGCTCTGGAAAGAACATCACTAAATAAAACTAATTGATAAGTACCTATTAACCTTTTTTTCATATGATGTGTTTTTTTTTTTTGTTTTTTTTTTAATAGATGCATAAAAAGATTTTTAGAAAGTAGCAACTGACATCACAATCCGATTTAGTCCAATGCAAACAGAGCACAAATTTTATCGGAATAAATGAGATGCATTTTCTCCTCTTCTCTCTATGCTTTCTATGTGCTGACTGTCAAGTGCAAAGGACCGATCTTATCACAGTGATTGACGGGAGACAACACATTGGCGCTTATTCCCGTAGATAGTGGTGTGAATATCAATATTCAATTATATTATATATAGACCCCACAAAAACTCATTTGTTAAACTCATTTGTTGGCAATACAAACATGCATTCCTAACCCTACCGTGTTCTAGTAACTAAGTAACTATTTAACTTGGTGTCTGTGTGTAAAAAACAAAAACAAAAACACCTTTGTTTACCCCAATAAGCCTGTGTTGCCACATCACCTTCCCATCCAAGATCATTAACACTGATAATCTCAGCCTATCAAATGCTTCCCCATAGGGAAACATTGAGAGACCAGTACTCACGTGCTGCAAATTGCCACACTGCATCAACCAGCATCTCCTCTTAGAGATGCATTGACTCAATGCACCTCTATATGGAGGGTTCATAGTCTCTAATGCAGAGCTTGGAGATGCTGAAAATTGGACCAACAATCTTTGCAGGATCCGACTCAGGAAGTTCCTCAAGTGGCTGTCCAAGTGACCATACTAGAGGTGGCATTATTCATCCTTGTAAACACTGCCCTTTCTCTGAAAAGGAATTGATTATACTGCTCAGCCTTCAAGTACAGGCTATAGACACCAGAACCACTACATTAAGCTGTAGTGGTTCTAGTGATTATGCTGTCCCTTTAAATATAGAGAAAGCCACCAACAATATAAAAAATCTTGAAAAGTGACCTTTTCTCTTGTATTGCCCTGAAATTGTGTATTTATATTCTTCTTTATATATAGATAACTGTAAAATTCTATTAGGTTTACAATTGTCTTGTGTTGCATTACTCCGAGTCAGTGCACTGCATAGCAGTGCAAATGGAGCTGTGAGTGCTGTTTCTGCCACTGTGATTTTCAGAGACTGCATACTCTTGGCTCATGGGGATCATTCGATCTCTTCTCACTGGTAGGAAGACCGAATTATCAGAGCCAAGATCATTTTCTGTGTCATCAAAGTGCCATAGTGTTGTAGATTTATTGAGGGCTGGTGTCTAGAGTGACTATATGTAAAAATAATTATGTTTGTTTGTTTTTTTTCAAGCCCTACAGCAAGAAGTCCCACTATCCCATAACTATGTTACAGTTTGGGCCCCAGAAAACTCTGAAGAGGCATTAGATTCATTTAATCTAGATTCGTTGGATCGCTTCCAGCAGCTGGATCTGCCATCAACATCCGAAGGCTCTGGTAATTTTGAATTGATTAACCCCCTAAGGACGGCGTTCATATTTGTATTTTGCATTTTTCACACACAAGCAAATATGAATCGCTAATTTTGGCCAGTGTTTGTGGCTAAATGGCTACTAAAAATGACTGGACATTTGCAATACATTGGGTTGTCTACTTTAGCAAATGGTATGCCATCATGGTGGTAATTTGATTCCTGGGCTACAAAAGGTCTCAAAGGTAACATTACCAATCCGGCAAATTTTAATGTGTTAAAACTGAAAAATGGAACGTGCTATACATAACCCTGTAACTTTCCAACACACCATAAAACCTGTACATGGGGGTATTACTGTTCTCGTGCAACATCGCTGAATACAAATATGTGCATTTTATTGCAGTAATAGCTAACAGTATTATGGCTTTCAAAGTTAAAATGCCATGCACAACTAAATAAAATTGAAAAAATTCTTAATTTCTCACTTATTTTAGGTTTTATTTATAATAAATTATGTTTCATATATAAATATTTGATATGAAATGAAAGCCCTGTTTCCCCTGAAAAAAATGACATATAATAAGTGTGGGTGTACTTCATATGAAAGAGGGGGACTATGGTTGAACAGACATATAGCGAAAATTCTATTTTGATCAGAACGTGTACAACTACCTCTGTCCTTAAGGTGTTTAAAAAAGAAAAAAAAAACAGATACATTTTTTTTTTTTTTTTTACATTCCTTGTAAATGATTGTTTTTGGTCCTTAGATTTGTCATTGGACCTCTTGACAGACTTCGAAGCTGACAGATTGCCGGCCAATGGCAAACCTGCTTCCTGGTCTGGTATGTAATGAGCTTTTATTATTTAAACCTTTATGTATTTATTTACTTTTTTTGTTGTTGTTTATTTGTTTAAAACCTAGATCAAAGAGAATACAAACGTGTGTGTAAGAGAATTGATTAATTTTTTGTCATCAGGTGTTTGCATTTGGTTGTCCTGGGAATAACCAAGTGTTTGACAGCCTAGTCTGACATGTTGTAATTTGCACCTGATAATAACATCATTGAACAATGTGTATCTGTAGCACGATAACGCATTTCTGGCACTCTGTAGTATACATATGGCGCAAAAATATAGATCACTGCAGGACATGGAAGGACTGGTTGTCTGCTTGAAAGGCAAAGAGGTGAAACAAGCTTAATTTATAAAAGTGACAATTTCTATAAAAAAAAAAAAAGAGGGAACATACATAAAGCATTTCGGCAAGCTAATGTGTTTTTGGGGTCGGGAGTGTCCCTTTGATACACAGAAATACGCGTTTGCGTTATCCAGTGCGATCTCTCCAGCCTGGATGCAATGATAGGCTGAGAATATTCATGGTCGGTTTCCCTGCAATCTCAACCTCTCATTTCTTTGCAAGTTGGGCAGATTCAAAGAAACTGAATCCAAAGACCTCTTGCAGCATAACCACCTAAATGGAACACTATAGTGTAAGGAATACAAAACTATATTCCTAACACTGAAGTGTCGTTCCCCCCTCCCATCCTTCATGCAAAGCATTGTTTCATGGAGACAGCCACTAGAGGCAGTCTTAACCCTGTAATGCAGAGCTGTCCAACAGGTAGACCCCAAGATGTTGTAGAACTACAATTCCCATGATGCTTTACATGCCTTTGGAATGCAACTAGAATGACACCATGAGAGTTGTAGTGCTACCTGTTGGGCAGCCCTGCTGTAATGTAAACATTGCACTTTCTCTGACACTACGATGTTGTACATAGAGGGATTAAGGGGACAGGGAATCAATAAACTGAAGTGATATGGGTACCTATAGTATCCCTTTAATAACCTGTGATTATAGAAAGAGATGAAATCATAAAGTGATCTTTAATGGGTCTTCGCTTCCCATAGGTATCTTCTTATGAGCTATTTATCAAACGGGCCTGGCGAATGAAAGCATAGCTGACTTACAGAATGTCTCCACTTTGGTTATTTTGGCCATAAATTTTAAATTCACTTTGAATTCTCACTTCACTACTAACCAGTCTCACTAATTTTTTTATTATATTTTTCTGCTACGTAATTGTTCATTGGAATTAAAAAAAAGTTTTTTTGTTTTTTTTTATATATTTTTTTCGTTTAACGGTTTCAGGAAATTCAATCAAACAAGAGGACCAAGAAGAAATGATTATGCATTTTGTAGACACATCATGCTCACAGAGTGTTTTCTCCACCGTACCGCAGTTACCTAACATTCACGTTCTCGGAGATGAGAGAGTCCCTGCGGCGGTTCTTCTAGACAAATCTGTAGAACAAATCCAGCGACTTGTGGAGCAGATTTCCTCTCACCAGGATTTGCCCCCAGTACGTCACAATGATTATATCAGAGCTTTAAATGATCTGAGACGGGAAATTCAAGTCTTTAATAACGATCGAGAAATACTGGAAACAAGACTTTTCCGCAGCCAGCTTTTGCAGTTGAAAAGAGAGAGATTGGCCTTACAGAGGGAAAGATTAGAGTATCTGAAACGCAACCCATGTCAGCAAATTGAAACGTCAAGTGAAGAGGAATGATTTTTTTCCCACTTGGATATAGAAATAGCATTCAAGAGGCAACTCACTTCATATGAAAGGAGTGACGATCATTGATACATTTATAGAAGTCCTAATAATAATCCCATTATTACACTGCATATCTAAGTAAATCATGTGTCATTCTGTGATTCCCCTGCACTATCCTTAAAAAAAATGAAAATAAAAAGAAATATATAAATATTAAAGACTATATAATTTAATACGTTTGCATTACTTCATTGTGTTTAAATGTATACGTCTAAATCGATTCATATAACACTAACTGGTGTACTTGGCACTTTACAAGTTACATTACAGTAAAGGGAGGTACAGTAGACATGGTGTATGTATATTTTATTTATATAGCACTAATTAGGGGAAGAGTGTGCTACAGTAAACACAATAGGTATACAGTGCGTGGATAATTTATATAGTGCGAACATGTGTACTTAGTACTTTACAGTAGAGGGAGCTATAGTAAACACAGTAAGTATACAGTGCGTGTATAGTTTTATTTATATAGTGCTAACATGTGTACTTGGTACTTTACAGTAGAGGGAGCTACAGTGTACACAGTGTGTGTGTGTGTGTTTATATAGTGCTAGTAGCGGTATTATTTAGAACTTTAGCACTGCAGAAGTTTATATATAAAAACGTTTGCAGGGTCATTGACACATGGAGGAAGGGGGCAAGTAATATGGAGATAGGTTAAGACAACCATTTTTTATTTTTTTTGTCCTCCCCCACCTCATATTTCATTCTCAGAAAGTGTAAAAAAAAAAAATATATATATATATATATATATATATATATAGTAACAAAGAAAACCATAAAAAAGAAAAAAAAAAAACAATTTCTTGCTTTGTGTAATATTCAGACACTATCTTTGGCTTTAGTAATATTCGGTATGCATACCAGCTTGGCACAGGTAATCTCTCCTCCTTGCAGTCTATTCGTGGCCTCTTCCGCTTGTCATTATTTCTCCACCAATGTCAGATACGATGGAGGTTGTTGGGAACCTCGAGTTTAGATTTCTTTCCAATAATGTTCCATTTGTCTGTTTGATAAATTGTTTTGTGTCTGCAAAAAATGTTTTGCACCCTTTTTGAAGTGATATGTTGGGTAAAGTGTAATACACTGCATATCAATATTTCTATTGGTCAATTAACTGTGCTCCTTTTAAGTGGTAACATTTTTTGTTCAAAACAAATAAAAATAAAAAAAACTGAATAGCTAGATCTCTTCTATATGGAAGAACCCCCCTTAACCCCCCAATATATCAGGATAAACTATCTTTATTCCATTGAAAAGGCCATGTGGCTAGGACCTATGGGGGTGCAAAATGACCACCATTGGTTTCGTGTCTACTGGTATATCATCAGAGACGGTTGATCCACAGAAAACTAGTAAATAATGAACCCAGAACTAAACTATAAAAATTTAATTGCCATTGGGATGGACCACGGACTACATTCACGCCATTTTATTTCATGGTCAGATAAGGTTATTGTATAACAGAAAACCACCAGATTCAATTAAAACCAAGCTGAACAGAAACTCACTTAAAGAACCATTACCAACCAACAAAGAGATTGACATAAACAGTCAGTACATTTAAAGTGTAAGAGCTTTAAAGGACCACTCTAGACACCCAGACCACTTCAGCTTAATGAAGTGGTCTGGGTGCCAGGTCCCTCTAGGGTTAACCCCCTTTTTTTTTTTTTATAAACATATTTATAATAGGGTTAATCCAGCCTCCAAAGCCTCTAGTGGCTGTCTCTTTGACAGCCGCTAGAGGCGCTTGCGTGCTTCTCACTGTGAAAATCACAGTGAGAAGACGCCAGCGTCCATAGGAAAGCATTTTGAATGCTTTCCTATGTGACTGGCTGAATGCGCGCGCAGCTCCTGCCGCGCATGCGCATTCAGCCGAAGAGGAGGGTCGGAGGCGGAGAGCTCCCCGCCCGGCGCTGGAAAAAAGGTAAGTTTAACCCCTTTCCTTGCCATCCAGCCCAGCGGGAGTGGGACCCTTAGGGTTGGGGCACCCTAAACCGAGTATGTTTTCCTGGCACTATAGTGGTCCTTTAAACATTGTGCTGAAAATACATTTGTAAGAAATCTAACTTTTTGTGTGATAGAGATTGCTCAATGCTGCCATTATGTGATTATTCAAAGGCAAATCCATAATGCAGCACTGTCACACCACCCTCAAAAATGAATATTTAATTTTTTAATGAAATACTTAATAAGAATATGAATAATATAATATTTCAGTGAAATGCCAACACGGTTAATTTAATTTATCCACGTTTTCTATGCTATTCCATCTTGCATTCTATACATTCTTTTCACCAATTAAAAGTTAAAAGAGCACTATAGGGTCATGAACACAAACATGTACTCCTGACTCTATAGTGTTAAAAACACTATCTATCCACCCTAGCACCCCTAAATAAATCTTACCTTTATTCCAGTCTGCTGGTGCTGGCTCTGCCCTTGATCCGCCTCCTTGGCTGACATCATCAGAAATGATGATCTCAACCAATCATAATGCTTTCCCACTGTAAAGCATTGGATTGGTTGAGATTGCCAATTCTGATGCTCTCAACCAATGAGGCAGACCAGGGGAGGGGTTGCAGAACATAACCACTCTGGCCAATCAGACATGAATTGAATCAATGCATCTCTCGGAGTACAGTTCAGTGTCTGCATGCAAAGGGTGGAGACACTGAAAGTCAGTCGCACTGACTCAGGAAGCACCTCTAGTAGCCATCTGAGGAGTGGCCAATGGAAGTATCCCTAGGCTATAATGTAAACACTGCATTTTCTCTAAAAACACAGTGTTAACTGAAAAAGCCTGAAGGGAATAATTCTGATAACCAGAATAAATACAATAAGCTGGAGTCGTTCTGGTGACTATAGTGTCTCTTTAATAATAAATTATATCTATACAAGAAGAGAGAGAGTATGCATGTTAATTTAAAGGTAAAGTAAAATCCTAGCAGGGAAAACTATATAAGTTGTAATATTCTAGAAAAATAATTCAGTTGTTAATGTCTAATGATAGAATTTAAGTCTTATTCTAAGCTTAGGAGATCTAATCTGCAATGCGAAGCTTCTTGTTTACTTAGTTTCCATTTTCTGTCTCTTCCCATTAATGGTAAGTAACCTTTCTCTTTCATCTCGGGGGAAAAAAATAATTATGATCTCCCCGCCACATTTGTGGAAGTGAAGGTTAACCAGAGACTTTAATCTGTTGTGTTCTAGATCAGATAGATGCTCACGTATACGTACCCTCATACTTCTGGGACCCTTGCCCTCCTATTGGGCATTACATTTCAAGCAGGACCCGAACTACATAGTTTGAGTCATCGTTAATGATGGAATCAATTTTAAAATGTGTTGGAAGAGGAGAAAATATCCCTATTTCACAAAACTCTAACTTTTGCCACTTTTAAACATCACTTTGCATGATAGCCAGTCGTTAGACTGCATAGATGGCTAGGAAAAATAAGCTAACCCTATTCTTTTGTCCTTTCCAGCACTGCATTTTATCTTTTGGGGCAATAATGCCCTATAAAATGAATCTAGTCAAAGAATTGGTAGATGGTTATTTAATATGAAAACCATTTCATTCAATTGAGTGGAGTATTGACAAGAGAAAATGGGTGCCTCTGTTGACCACCAAGTATTGCTATACAATCTCTAAAGCCTAAAAAAAAAAAACACTAAAAAAAAGTACGTTCCAGTAAGTTTCAACTGTATAACCTGAATGGTGAGATAAAACCAACCTAACAACCTATGGTCGGTATACCCAGGTCATGGGGTTTGGAGGAATAAATTGCAGCGGAATCCAGATAGATTTAGAGCAGATCATGGCTCATTCAAGATGAGCCCAGGTACCAGGGAACTGAGGCCTTGCAGTAGCCTAACTTACCTTACTTAATGATTCCACCCAAAAAAGCAGAACAGATCCAAAATGCAGGCCGGCTCTCTCTGCATGAGAGATACTGCAACCACAAATGATCGTTTAGAGGGTTATCCAGATGTCCCTTGCTCACAGTGCCTAGAGGGGTATCAGCTATACCTCACTGACAAAGTCTAGCAAGGCTGAAACTAGAGTCTGGAGTTGCTGTATCTCCCGTGCAGAGAGAGCCAGCCTGCATTTCGGATCTGGACCACCCTTTTGGGGACTGCCCTGGAATCAGTCTGATATGCAAACGGTCCTGGTTCTTTTTGGGGGAGAGAAGGGGGGCGATGGGGGTTCCTAAATGAAAAAAAGCTAAAACTTACCTGCAATCACTCATCACGTTCTTCCAACTGTCTGATCCTCCTCCAGTACCATCACTCCTACTCACTAGAATGTCTGGGAGGAGATGTCAGGTAGGATATCCCCAGTGGAGAGCTGTGCTGCTATTGGTCATCTGTCTCCAGCATGCTATGAGTGCTGACATAAGATGGCAAATATGCACAGAATTGACATTAGCCAGCCTGCAAGTCTTGGGCTGGCTAATGACGCTGCTGGAGGTAGAGTTATACTTGGTCCTACTCATATAGTCTCCAAGATTTACAACCACTTCAAATCACTAAAGTCGTCATAGTGCTTGGGGTAACACTTTAGGTACTTTCTGTGTCCTGCGAGTTGATTAGAGAAATGAGAGTAGACTGCAAAGTTTTATTTAACCAATGGTTTGACCAAGAAAAATAAAAAATATATACACTCAAACTCACCATTAATTAAAGCAACACTCTAAACACCATAATCACTGAATCAGCTGACACTGGAAAATTCTCCAACGATTTGAAATGAGCAATTCTCTTGTCAATGACTGGGACCAGAAGATGTATTCTTTAAATAGTCAATTATGGTGAATTTATCTTTTAATTTGTATTCATCCACACAATGTCTGCAGACCGATCACTCTTTTCACAGTCAGTATATAATTTTCAATTCTTTAAATCTGAATGTGCTTAAGTATCTAGAAGAATAGGATCTCCATTCCCCAGTTCTCAAAAAAAACAAAAAAACAAACAAACTGTAATTAAGTTGCTTTCTAAACCAAGTTTATTGGGTACAAACACTGCCAGTCTGTTTGACTAAATTAATTAACTTTTTAAAAAGCAAATACATTTCCAGTACAAACAGCTCTCTCATAACCTGCTCATCAAGAAGACTGTAAAAGACAACGGATCACCCATTCACACTTGAAAAAGATTCCACCTGTGACATAGGAAAGGGCTTTATAATGCAATACAGATATGATACAATAGAGATGTTGCATTATCTTCCTAAAGAGATCGCTTTATTGAACTTGGCACAATATTTTAAGCAATTGGATTTAAAAAAAAATATTTTTTAGGAAAAAACTGAATTGCAAAAGATATAACCGTGTATATTGAGTAAAAAAAACAACCAACTTGTTGATCCACACTCCCCTCCCCCCCTTGCAGCAAAATTGATAGTTGATCGTATTGAAGGTGAAAACTTAAATAGAAGGAAAGCAGAAATAGATGTGTGAAAGGCTATACCTGATGATCTAGAACAGGCATAGGCAACCAAGATGTTTTGGACTACACCTCCCATGATGCTTTGCCAGCATTATGGGTGTAAGAGCATTATAGGGGATGTAGTCCACATCTGGAGTGCCAAAAGTTGCCTTGTTTTTGGATACTTCAGTCCTAGTAATTCATGGCATCTTCAAAAGTCACAGAAAGGTCTGGTGTGGAGTATAATGCCACAGAAGGCAAAGGAACCGCAATAACAGTTTGACAAGTATAAACAGCTACCAGCATTAACATACAGAGGGCATCTCTAATACAGATTGTGTTTATTAACACATTTAGGACGTTCTTAGATTAATATGCAGATGGTCTTCAGTTACACCTGCGGTGTGACCGGAGCCTTTAATGAAAGCAGGCACATGTGTATTAAAGGACCACTCTAGGCACCCAGACCACTTCAGCTTAATGAAGTGGTCTGGGTGCCTGGTCCAGCTAGGGTTAACCCATTTTTATAAAACATAGCAGTTTCAGAGAAACTGCTATGTTTATAAATGTTAATCCTTTCCCCTATCGCCTAGTGGCTGTCTCATTGCCACAGTTACTAGATAGCTTTTGGCGCGTTTCCTCAATGCGATTTCACAGAGTGAGAAAGCACTAAGCGTTCACATAGGAAAGCATTGTAAATGTTGCGAGATCGGAGCTGAATGCGCGCTGCAGTTTTGCCGCTGCGGCGCATTCAGCCGGGCGGGTTAAACGGAGGAGGAGTAGGTGAGCTCGAGAGCCGAGCCCAGCGCCTGAAAAGTTGCAAGTTTAACCCCTTTCCTCTCCCCAGAGCCGGGCGGGAGGGGGTCCCTGAGGGTGGGGGCACCCTCAGGGCACTATAGTGCCAGGAAAACGAGTATGTTTTCCTGGCACTATAGTGGTCCTTTAAGGTAAGAATATATATAGCAGAGGTACTGCTTATTTAGAGTGGATGCTAAGAAACCGCTATGGGAAACTTTTTATGTTGTTGCAGGTGACGCAAAATCCTCCTCTCTGCACTTCTCTCTCTCTCCAACATGCAGTCACAGAATGCATTCTAAGATAAGCGAATTCCAAAATGAAATACGACTGAAGAAGCCTGCATATAGTCCCATAAGTATCTCCAAGGCAAAAAATTTCCATGTCCGTCTCCGTGCATTAGTTCCAAGAGGATTTGCTCCATAAAACGTTTGATTTCATGTCTGTATGCCACGGATCTGCACGGCCTTAACCTCATCCACTCTGTTTTTATGCACTTGGAATGCCGGAGTGACCCAGCGGCCACACGAACACTGCTCACCGTACCAGTTGAAGCAACCAAGCTTGGAGCTACATTTTGGGCAAAGAAGCTGGAGGGGGAAAAATAATAAAGCAATGGATTGATTATGGTTAATATAGATTTGTTATAAGGCACGACAGACAACTGTGGTTGTCCTTGCTGTCCACATAAATGAGCACTCCAGGTTGGGATTGGCTCTTTTTAATGCATAGTATAGACCAGGCATAGGAAACCTTCGGCACCCCAGATGTTTTGGAATACACCTCCCATGATGCTTTGCTAGCACTATGGGTGTCAGAGTATTATGGGGGATGTAGTCCAAAACATCTGGAGTGCCGAAGGTTGCCTATCCCTGGTATAGACGATTCATTAATAAAACAAATTAAATAAAAATAATGTTAAAAATAACCAAATTAAATAGTAAATAGAAAACGCATACCTTTAAAAGTTCTTTCTTTATATGCAAATCCTTAAACAATACATAATCATTTGAAAACTCTGCCACCATTAAATAGTTTGGCCAATCAAGAGCCTCCCATTTTGGTGTAGGTAGTCTGCACTGCTGGACATGTTTCGGCCATTTTGCCATCACTGTATGGGTTATTGTATAGACCAATCTACTTTTGGGAATGGGTAAATCTCAATGTTCATGTAATGTGTAGGCAGTGGCGTACACATGACCCATGGGGCCCCGGTGCGAAACTGCGGCGTGTTGGGGCACTTAACATGGCGGTGTGGGCACCGCAATGCGCGGGGGTTGCAGGGCTGCGACCCAGCGACGCCCGGTATGCACACACATAAGGACCGCTACAGTACCCAGATCACATCAGCTCAATGAAGTGGTCTGGGTGCCGGAAATCCTAGTTTTAACCCTGCAGCTGAAAACATAGCCCGTTTCATAGAAGCGGCTATGACTGAGGGTTAATCCAGCCTCTGGTGGCTGTCTCATTGACAGCTGCTAGAGGAGCTTCCGCGATTCTCACTGTGAAAATCACAGTGAGAAGACACTGGACGTCCATAGGAAAACATTGAGTAATGCTTTCCTATGGGCGGTTTAAAAGCGCGTGCGCGCCTCTTGCTGCGCGTGTGCATTCGGAGCTGAGAGGCGGAGGGATCCCCAGCGCCAAGGGAGTCCGACGCTGGAGAAAGGTAAATGCTGAAGACACACACACACACATTCTCACGAACAGACGCATACACACTAGCTAACAGACACACACATTTACTGACAGAGACACACTCAGCGACAGACATACATACACACTCACTTACAAAACATACACTTTCACTGACAAACACACACTCACTAACAGACATCAAACACACTCAGTAACACACACACACAGTAACACACTCACTAGCAGACACACACCCAATAACAGACACACTCACTGACACACACACGAACACAAACAAACACAAACAGACAAACAAACACAAACAGACAAACAAACACAAACAGACAAACAAACACAAACAGACAAACAAACACAAACACACAAACAAACACAAACACACAAACACACACACACACTAACACACACACTAACACACACACTAACACAAACACACATTTTTTTTAAAATTTAATCCCCCCAGCCTCCTTACCTTTTGGAGTGCTGGGGGGATTCCCTGGGGTCCAGTGGTGCTGCTGGGCTCCTGGGCGGGCGGGCAGCCGGTCGGGCAGGAAGGCGGGCGCGCGAGGGAGCACTCAGTGCTTCCTCTTCAGCTCCCTCGCGCGCCGCGTAGGCCCGGCGCCGGAAGATGCGTCATCTTCCGGCTCCGGTATCATTGGGTGCGCGAGGGAGCTGAAGAGGAAGCACTGAGTGCTCCCTCGCGCGCCCGCGCCTCTGCCCGCCCGACGGGTCAGCAGGGCCAGCCTCGGGGGGCCCTGGGGTGGTCGGCTCCTGGGCCCCCCAGGGGAAGAGGCTGGCCTGGGTGTACATACCGGGTCGCAGGGGCGGGGCCCCCTGGTGGGCCGGGCGGTTGCAGCCGCGACCCTGGTATGTACGCCACTGTGTGTAAATACGTGCACCAGTTTAGGGAATCCTAAAACATGGTACTTTCTATCTTGTGTTATTTTAGATTGGTAGTCTTTGGCAATGGTACTTTCTATCTTGTGTTTTTTTAGATTGGTAGTCTTTGGCATACTTTTTTATATAAATTATTTATGCAATGTATTAAAAAAAAAAAAAAAAAACACACACTTTTTTTTAGTGTATACAATCAAAATATTCAAAAGGGACTCTCCGCTGCCCAAATTATAAAAAATAAAAATCAGTTTTTAATAGCTATACCTTTCGGAAAAAAAACCATTCATTTGTGGTATATCTAAAATGGCTGCGGATCTCTTGTCTACAGCCTTTAGAAACCCTCCCCCTTCTAGCCCCGCCCAGACTTTCTGTAGTTGTCCAATCACAGACTTCTAACTGCAATTATTGAGAAGTCTTTGCAAGGCAGGCGCTCTGGGCAATTGATGTCTCTGATCTGTTACCTGATTGCCAGCGGGGAGGTTTGTAACAAGGTCAATTTATAAAAGTGTCAATTTCTATTGAAATCTACACTTTTTATAAAAAATAAGTAAATAAATAAAAAGGACAGTCTACATATAAAACAGTTTAGCAAGCAGAAGTGCTTTAGGAGTCTGGCTGTCCCTTTAATAGGACTGTTTTGTATCTACTCCGGAATATGGGAAAAATAAATGAAGTATCTGAACTATTGGAAAATGCTAGAACCAAAAACAGTTACAACTTGCAAATGTAGCTCTGCTTCTGCAATGTTCATAGAGTTGAATGTAACAAGTACAAGAAAATGGTGATATTTAAAGAAACAGGGTCTTCTGATCCTACCTGACCATCCATTACACCCAGCAGAGTCTCCTCCATCCACTGCACAGGCTCCACAAAATAGGAAGTACACTTCTTCAGGTCTAATGCGGAGGTGGCTGAATTCAACTTCTTATGAGCAAATGCAGCAGGACCATCACCTACGACGTGGCTGAGGATACTGGTGGCCCGGAACAATGAGCGTCTGTAAGGAAAAGCAATGATAAAGTCCTAAATAAACAAAAAGCACCATAACCACTAAAGTGTGGGTCATCAAAATGTATAACTTTGTCAAAGGAGGAGCAGCAATGGAATACAGGTATATGCTTTATGCCTTTTTTTTGTTTTTTGCATGATGAGGTCCCAGTGATCTAACCAAAAAGGTTAGCTTAGTGATGCTGTTTTGGTGTATAGCTCATGCTCTTGCATTCTCACTGCCAAATTAATTGCCATTTAGGAGTTAAATCACTTTTGTTTCTGTTTATCTTGTCCAAGACACACCTAACCCTGGTTGTGACTGACACAGCTTCTATGAAGAAAAAAAAAATGTTTTTCATTTTTCCATCAGATGTTAACTGGCTTTAGCAGTTTTTATCTCCTGCTCTGTAAATTTAACTTTAATCACACACAGGAAGATCATGCAGGGTCTAGAAGGCAATACGCAATAGAGGAAGTGTAAACATTTGATGACTTTGAACAGGAAGTGTTTAGAAAGACTGTGCAAGCCACATGCAAGGAGGTGTGACTAGGGCTGCATAAAATAAAGTGATTAAATTCCTAAATGTCAGAGAATTGAGCAGTGAGACTGCAGGTGCATGATCTATACACCAAAACAACCCCATTAAGTTTTTGGGTGCCTTTAGTGTCCCTTTAAATTGTGATAAAAATGATGTAATAAATGCATGTAAAACGTTAAAAAGCAGACTTAGCTCAAACTTAACTAAAAAGGCTGTATGTAGGTACATCTTCACATCGTTAGCTAATAGATACCTGCATTTTCTACATCGGTAGAGAGTCTCGGCAGTTTGACCGAGGGAGCTGGGGTCAGACGCAAACACTTCCCGTGGTAGCTTTTGCAATTCTGAAATAGGTATTCAGAGAGAATATTCAAATAGTGATCCTAAAGGGATAGTGTAATGTAGTTATACATTATTTGAATATCATTGTTTTTACAAAAATCAAACGGACAGTTCATTAAATTGGAAAAGTAATTGAAACAAGTTTAAAGGGACAGAACCAAGTGCAAATATCAGATTCATTTTCTAAACTGGAAACTGTCCAGAATTGACAAGGGAGCTGTCAAAGGCGAGAAATGACTGCAATGAAGAATTTTATTCTAGTTCTGTTCTTTTAGATTAAGCTTTGTCAGTTGCATTGGTAGTTTTCCCACAATTCATAGTTAAAGCACATCTCTCACTTTTGCAAAGACCCATGAAGATGACCGATCAGGTGGTCGAAGGAAAGGTAAGCTTAACTTATCTAAAGATGTTCCTCGTGGCTACTGTCATCCTTGTCCTGGTGGTTTTCTGAAACACCTGGAGCTTCATTTGTCAGGAGCCACGAGAGTATAGCACTGAGGTTTATGGTGGATCCCATAATTCCACAGGATCCTCCATAGATCGATTTCTGACTCACACAGTCATCACTTGTGACCGCTGCAGGGACTGCAGGGACTGGACAAAAGTTGATGGGTGACTGGTTGAAAAGTGAGGGAGGGGTGTTAGAAATACCTTTGTGTTTCCTGGTGGCCCAGCCTCCTGTCTCCCTGGTGGCCCAGTTGGCTGTCTCTCCAGTCTGCAGCTCCGTTGGGTGTGACCTGCTGACTGTGCATTGTCTCGCGATCTCCATAAGTCAGAGTGTTCCCATGGTAGCCTGCGGCAACACTGTGATTGGTCAGCGATCGCGAGACAATGCACAGTCTGTAGCTCACACCCGGCGGACCTGCAGACTGGAGGCGCTGGTTCTCTCCCTCTCAGGGCAGACTGGAGGGGCCTTACACCCGGCAGCACACACCTGACAAGTCACTCTGCCCTTTAACTCTGCTGTTAGACCGCAGCAGGGCTAAAAGCAAAAAATAACAACCTACCCGGCGCCCGGAACTGCATGTCCCAGACGTCGGGCGATATGATTTGCGCATCCCTGTGGCAATACTCTTATTAGCAGCTATCAGTGAATAGCCATATCTTGTGAGACCTCAAAAAAGAGACAAACTAGCTTCTTTCTTGGCAACTCAACAGGAATCTGTTTATTGTATATAGCTCCAGCATAAAGTAAAATAAACATTGCACAAACATTTCACCAATGGGGATACAGAACAGGGCACAGGAAAAAAAACAACAAAGCTACATAGTGATTCCTTACACAGCAGGTGATCACTCACAGTGCAACATTTAACCTGATTAGCCCACAAAATACATTTCACACCTGACTTTACTTTATGCCTGGATAGAGAGCTGCTGTCCTCCCCCTCTGTTGACCCACAGCTGCATATACAGACACACACACTGCTGGGTATAATACAAGTACACAATACACAGATGCCTGTAATACAGAGATACCTATGTACATGGAAAACAGTCACAAAAATGGCGCCGCGAGCTTGTTGCTTGCGCAAAGCAAATTAGACCAGCCATCACATAAATAAATTATCATTCCATTTGGATAGCTCTATATTGGTATGTCATTGGAACGTGCATTTTCAGGCACCCATCGTATTCTTACAATATCCCAGTGAGTTCTATGGGAGCAATAGTATTTTTGTGGCAGCAGTATTAATAGTGAAAATGAAAACGATTTAGTCTGACTGCATGGTGCATCACCAACCAGAAGACATGCAAGTCTGATCACTAAATAAATAGTCATCTGGTAAAATAGTTAGTCATATTCAAAGCTAAGCAGCAATATGGTCTAGCCTTAGAGTAGAATTACAAAACTCACCAGGATATTTCTCGGTCACTTTCTGTAATCGATATTGTTTGTAGATTGAACATGTCATATCCACCTGACAGCCCATCGCTTCAAACAGCTCCAACTGCTTAACAAACTCATCGTTAATTCTGCAATGACACAAACACATTCACTAACCTGCATCTTTGATTCACTAACTTTTTTTGGCCTACATTTGCAATTCTATTGTAGTCCACAACAATTCTAGATTTAGAGAATAAACCCCAGCACAGTTTCATTTGTTTTTATTTTTCAAAATTACCCAATGTGGCCGGTTTGAAGGCTGTTTCAACTTCTTGTGTCTCTGCATTATTTGCAAAGAACCCCGAAGGTGATATCACCGCTTGGTGTCCGGTGATGCAGAAGTGCAAGGGAAAGTGTGTTTTACTTATCTGAAGCTATCCCTCATAGCCAATGCCATCTGCATCCTCACTAGCTCATAGCACTTTATCTGCCTTTAGCCAACACCAGTGCTATACTCGCAAGTATACTATACTTGCAGGTGTGTGCAACAGTACAACACGAGGTATACAGAGGAGCAGGAACCTCGTAGATATATTCTCTTGACCAGTAAGTCAATGCCCTTGTTCAAAACTTGACAAACATAGTATAGCGCTGTTTTTTCAAGTTTTGTCAAACAGAGGAAAAATGTGTAAGACAACGTAAACATTAATTTGTATTATGTATTTTAATAGAAAAAGATTGAAAAATAAGAAAAGTACCACCGATTTTTAGTGATTAAAAGAAGAGGAAAAGATTGAATCAAGGTAAGAATTGGGTGACAGAGTCGCTCTAAGTTATGGATAATAAACTACGAACCTGGCGTGTGTGTGCGCGCATGGGGAAACACTCTGCTCCTGCAGCACTTCCTGTACAATCGAACTTGAGAGTATTTTTTATTGCTTTTGCATGTGGTATTAATGAATTATATAAATAACACATATAAATAGAACAAAGATCACTTCCTGCATATCGTGTCTGTCTAAATCTTCCAGCAATGTGTTGATCAGACAATGGACAGTGAATCCTAAGCAGAGGGTCAGCTGACTGCTGTCAGCCAATGAACTAAGTCCAGCATTGCAGGGCCTAGCACAGGAGAGCTAATAGAAATTCCTACTTAGGAATATCCGGCTCTCCGGAGATGATAGTGGAGGCAGAGAGCAGCACCCGGCGGACCACAGGTAAGACGTCAAACCAATCCTGGAATTAAAATCACTACAGCGAGATGTGATGTCAATGGTGGCTGGAGTGTTCCTTTAACGTGTAATTGGAAACCTACTTTACATTGGCTTTGATGGCCTGTAGTCTTGCGTAAGCATCTTCAAAGGGAAGGTTTTCAGTGCTCATCAAGTAGGCAGTGATTACAGCAGCACTACGACTCACTCCCGCATGGCTAAAACAAAAACGAAGAAATGAATCTGTAAAATAGAAACATCACTTCCCTGCAAAGTACACCAATAAACAAAGAACTTGTATCAGCCTTAATATCATTTGACGCCATTTTCTTTTAAAATGTAGATCACAATCCAGTTCTACTTTACACAGTCAGGGCACACACTGCAATGGAACAGAGGAAACGGAAACATTGATGGTTCTTCAAAAAAAAAAAAAAAAAAAAAAAGTAGTGTGAATTGTCAGGAATTGGAATTTCAAATTCTAGGTCAAAAGAGATAAACTAAAAATATAGCGGACTTGGAAAAAGTTTTCAATTCAGCTTTTTTTGGCCTTCAAATTTGAAATTCACTTTGAATTTGCACTTGAATTGACTAGTGAATAACCCTAACTGCTTCTCCTGCTGTCCATGCTCCCTCTATCCTGACAGACTGGTCCAAGGGTGGGGCTTATGTGGCAAAAGTGACCTCGCCACTGGTTTTTGGAGGGGCCCGTTTTCCAGCTTGCTGCCCTGCGACTATGGCCCTGGGATGTATTGCCCTTTAAAGGAACTGATTTGGGCATATTGTATTTTAATATGCTGCTGCTGGCTCTTTAAGAACCATCTGGGGACATTCTGTGGAGCTACTGGGTGGCCACCATTTCATGTATCAGAGGCACATGGTGAGAACAATGGATGAAGCACATGGTGAGAACAATGGATGAAGCACATGGTGAGAACAATGGATGGCGGCCATTTTAACTCACAGACACGGTTTGGACTTTTCTACACGGTGCTATCTCGCTGGTATTTGGTGCACCAAGACATTGTGCAGTAGTTTTAAACTATAGAACAGGGGACACATTATACAGTAATTATTTTTCATATAGCCTGTATATGTTCTGCGGAATCTGCATTAAACTGTATCTTCCAAACTACTGAACGGATCTGGGTGAATTTTGGATATGTGGTTCACCCAGATCCCCCGGTTCCGAGGATATATTTTTATGGGGTTATTGCATGTTTTGGGGTCCCTGTGATATGTTTTATAATACTGTATTTTCCTGCCTGTGATAATTAAGTTAGTCTATTGTGTTGAGATAATTGTATCACAGGCAGAGGGGAGGATTTCTGATGTAATGAATGGGAGTGTTAGCTGTGTTATAATGTGTTGATTGGTTGTGCTTCAAAACCCTGTGGGCAGTACTATGTTTGTAGAATGTGAATAAAAGAGGCTGTATGTGCCAGTATAGACAGTTCTACTTCACCCTCAATCTAGAGTCCTGTCTCTTATTGGGGGAATTACTATATCACTACAAGGGATTGCTATGCTCTGCATACTCCCTTAGCTAATCACTACTAAGCTCTTTTAAGAGCTTGTTCCTGCTTCACTCTCTTGGTGGAGAGGTTCACCCACTGGAACCTGGAGCCTTGTCGTAGATCCAGGGTGGGTAGGAGACGGCAAGACCCCAACCAAGCTGCAGCGGTTAGTGGGGTCTGCGGTGGTTGTGGTGTCTGCGAAGCGCTTGGAGCCCTCTGTAAGCGTTATGAGCACCCTTCAACGGAGGTACCCAGTCGGGGTTGCCAGGTGATCCATTACAGCTTATAACAATCATTGACAGGAAACCGAGACAAAGCAGCAGTTTCCATTCACACATTAGTAAATGTTGGTGTGCAATATTTGATAAAGAATTATACAATCACCCCCCAAACCAGTCAGCTTAAATGGACACGATAGTCACCAGAACAACTACGGCTTATTGTCTTGGTTCTGGTGAGTATAATCATATCCTTAAGGCTTTTTGCAGTAAACACTGTCTTATTAGAAAAAATGCAGTGTTTACATTACCGCCCAGGGATAACTGGTGACCGCTGCGTACCCCTCCCCAACTCCACTACAGTCTCCTCTCTATCGGACAGATCTCTGTCTGTGCCAAACCTAACATTGCAGGGCTTAGCTTACTGGCCGAGAGTGATCAACTGACAACCTCAGCCAGTGAGCTGGTCCTGCACTGCACAGCTTGGTTTAAAGGAACACTGTCACCTACATTACTTTAGCTAAATAAAACAGTTTTAGTGTATAGATCATTCCATTGCAATTTCACTGCTCGATTCACTGTCATTTAGGAGTTAAATCACTTTGTTTCTGTTTATGCAGCCCTAGCCACACCTCCCCTGGCTATGATTGACAGAGCCTGCATGGAAAAAAAAAAACTGGTTTCACTCTCATCACAACAGATGTAATTTACCTTAAATAATTGTATCTCAATCTCTAAATTGAACTTTAATCACATACAGGAGGTTCTTGCAAGGTCTAGCAAGCTATTAACATAGCAGGGGATAAGAAAATCTTAAACAAACAGAACTTGCAATAAAGAAAGCCTAAATAGGGCTCTCTTTACAGGAAGTGTTTATGGAAGGTTGTGCAAGTCACATGCAGGGAGGTGTGACTAGGATTCATAAACAAAGGGATTTAACTCCTAAATGGCAGAGGATTGAGCAGTGAGGCTGCAGGGGCATGTTCTATACACCAAAACTGCTTCATTAAGCTAAAGTTGTTCAGGTGACTATAGTGTCCATTTGAGACATCTAATGGAAGCAAGACCTTCTGGCTCTCCTGGCAGCTGAGAAGAAGCAGGGAGCGGCAGAATTATTAAGTTTTGGCACCATAGCCACTACAAAGCGCTGTTGTGGTTTCTCTGAGTGGAGTGTTCCATTAATGAACTCACCAGTGAACGAGGATGGATGATTCAGATACTTCATGGGCTTCTTTCACAAAGTTTAAACATTCAGGCAAACAACTCAGAAGGTCTGCACAGGCCTCGTCAAACAAACGCACAAATTTAGTTTTGAACAAATCCAATGTCGTTGGGGCCTTGCTGTCCACAGTCAGTACATGCGTGATGCCATTTTCATGCAATTGTTGCGGATTCTCGGCATCTGTGGCACTGCCAAGATACAGCCTGGGCAGCACAGAGATCATGTTTAGGGACAAATTCTCTGAAACACCATAGGATCTGTAAGAAATATAGAAATTAACTGGAAATGTCAAATAAATGCCATAATATGAATTGTGGAGCAGGTAACCTTTGATTTACACTGTGTTCCTCATCACATCGCTACCATATATTACGAAGTCTACTATCTTTCTCCTTAAAGGACAAAAATCCAGTTATTTTAATGGGTATATTTATTGCCAAAAAAAAAAAATAAAAAATATGTATTTACTACAATTAACATTAAAATTTCCTAATCCCTAAAAACTTGCCTTTATTACGATGCAGAACTGGTCTTTTTGCACAGCACTTAGTCCTAGATAGTGCTGGACATTGTCTGGTCAAATACTCCTTATAGAAAATCATTGAGATCAACTCTTCAGCCCATAGCTTCTTATAGAGGTGGATAGCATTATTAAGATTAAGGGATTTGTATGAAACAAGTAAACAAATAATAAAATAAAATCTTGCAAGTTGTATTAGTGCCACGTTTAAATATTAATGTTACATAAAGTTATTGTGGACTATAATACTGTTAAAGGGACACTATAGTCACCTGAATAGCTTTAGCGTAATGAAGCAGTTTTGGTGTATAGAACATGCCCCTGCAGCCTCACTGCTCAATCCTCTGCCATTTAGGAGTTAAATCCCTTTGTTTATGAACCCTAGTCACACCACCCTGCATGTGACTTGCACAGCCTTCCATAAACACTTCCTGTAAAGAGAGCCCTATTTAGGCTTTCTTTATTGCAAGTTCTGTTTAATTAAGATTTTCTTATCCCCTGCTATGTTAATAGCTTGCTAGACCCTGCAAGAGCCTCCTGTATGTGATTAAAGTTCAATTTAGAGATTGAGATACAATTATTTAAGGTGAATTACATCTGTTTGAAAGTGAAACCAGTTTTTTTTTTTGTTTTTTTTTAATGCAGGCTCTGTCAATCACAGCCAGGGAAGGTGTGGCGAGGGGGACATACTAAAAGGAATGACAGATTGGAATGCCCATAGAGTTTAACAAGGCAGTGGAATGCCCATAGAGAATAATGGAAGTGAAAGGAATGCCCATAGAGAATAATGGAAACAAAATATTTCAATTAGAGACAAAACTATTACACATATGAAATCCATATTTTGCCACAATATTCTCCAGATTCAGTGTCAATTTTTGAAATTGAAATTAAGTGGGATTATCATTGTTTTCTATAGAATGACAATGGTGAATGACTAAAGAGAATGCCCATAGACTATAATGGGAGGCAACACAAACTCATTTGCAGGTAAATCTCTGTTGTGTAGCAAATTCATCTTTTCCACAGGTGTTCCCCAAGTACAGCAGTAGATTGTAAAATTAAAAGTAACTGGGATTATAGCTCTTTTCTATGGAATGACAGGTAAATGATACAATGGAATGCCCATAGAGTATAATAGGAAGCAATATGTGGAATCTGAACCATGAAACATATCAAGTAAATCTTTTGCGGGCATACTCTCCAGGTTCAGTGTAAATTTTTGAAATTGCCCGAGACCCATGTGCAGCGACGGAACTGCCGCCAGTGCAGTTGCACTTGGGGCCGCACGCTAATGGGGCCCATCGGGTGGCCCACACACTTAGGGCCACCCGATGGGCCCTATATCTTCAGGGGCACTGTCAGCGCTGTGACCGTGTTATAGCGCAACAGGGCCCCTTGCATAAAAAAAAAATGCAGCCGTAACGCAAGTGCTGCTTGGAGGAAATGACGGCCGGTCACTTCCTCCCAGCTCACTATGCGCAGGAGGAGAGCCAGCGTGGAGGCCTTGAAGAGGGAGAGCCATGCTGACTCCCATCAGCCCCAGTCACCCTCCTGCAAAGAAACAGTAAGAAACAGGAGGGTGGCTGACAAATGAGCTGTCTGTGTCAGTGTGTATGTCTGTCATTATGTATATATGTATGTCTGTCAGTATGTGTATATATGTAGGTCTGTCAGTATGTATATATGTATGTATGCATGAGTATGAATGTATGTCTGTATGAATGTATATCTGTGTGTATGTATGGAAGTCAGTGTCTGTATGCATGCATGTCAGTATGTATATATGTATGTATACCAGTACCAATGTATGTCTGTATGTCAATATGAATGTATGTCTGTGTGTATGTATGTATGTGTGTGTGTATGGATATCAGTGTCTGTATGCATGTATATATGTCTATCAGTATGTATGTATGCCAGTGTCAGTGTATGCCAGTATGAATGTATGTCTGTGTGAATGTATGTCAGTGTCTGTATGTCCTTATGCGTGTGTGTGTCTAAATATAGGGCTTAGAAGAGCGACCTCAAAACATGTCTCCAAGCCTTCTGGGTATGAGAGCCAGGAATCTTACTTCCCAATTCTCATACTGTAACATACCTTGACGTTACGCATGCATGCACAGTGCTGTCATGGTCGGCAATAGAGAATCATTGCATGTGCCTCAGGCACACAATACTCCTCTCTGATGTGCATTGGATAGACCCATCATCCGGGTGGCGCTAAAGCAGGAGGGGGCATCAAGTCTGGAAGGGTGAGTGTGGCAAACCTAGCCACTTGGACAATATAAAGAGACTGTACCTTTAAGGGTTGCCTGTATGGTTGTGGGGTATGTGTGTGCATAAGTATAATGTATGCTGGCTGTAATACCTTGTATTTCCTGTATTGGCTATCTGCCGAACACAGATAGCTGTATTCCATTTCGTTTCACGAACGGCACCTTTGCGGGCCGTTCGTGAACCGAAATAACCACCATGTAATAGCCCACACACTTAGAGGTGCTGAACTTCCAGGCTGTTCGGGAGTTCCGGGCCGTTCGGTATTATATTCCCTATACTTCAATCGGTCTTTTGAATGTGTGTTTTAATGAATATGTTTTTCGTGCGGCGTTCGGTTGTTTTAGCTGGGATCTGAGCGGTAATCTCACGAATGATGCGCTCAGACCCCAGCTATCTACCGAACGTCCATTCGTGCAAATAGTCGAAATAGTCGAAGAACTGTACATTTTAAAGTAAATCCACTTAACGGTATATTCCAGTGGGAGGATCCCTCTCGTGCAGCAGTGCCTGATGGGGGAAAGGCTCTGTACATTAAGTTCCCCACGTAGTCCACTCTGGGAATGCCCCTGGGATGTGACTCAGGAAACCCCTTGCATGGGGAATTGTATAAATTGCAGAGCTGTGAATAAAGCCTTCAGTTGACTCTCAGAACTGTGTTTCGTCCGGTTACTGGGAGATTTGGGATATTGCCTTGCTTTTCAGCGCTTGACTGTGGATTACTTTCTGAACCAGCGGAATTCATGGATTTAATACTGCCGATCCGCTACAGTGAGTAATTATTTTGATTTTTTTTTTTTTACTCTTTAGAGGGGGAGACTATAGCGGATCGGCAATATTAAATCCCACGAATTCCGCTGGTACAGAAAGTAATCCACAGTCAAGCGCTGAAAAGTAAGGCAATATCCCAAATCCCCCAGTAACCGGACGAAACACAGTTCTGGGAGTCAACTGAGGTCTTTAATCACATGCTCCAGTATTTATACAATTCCCCATGCAAGGGGTTTCCTGAGTCACATCACAGGGGCATTACAGGAGTGGACTACATGGGAAACTTAATGTACAGGGCATTTCTCCCATCAGGCACTGCTGCACGAGAGGGACACTCCCACTGGAATGTACCGTTAAGTGGATTATCCCTCTGTTCAGCAGAACCGACAAGTTACATTAAAATCTATAACTTCAATAATATTTGCAGATTTAAATGAATGGACGTTCGGTAGATAGCTGGGGTCTGAATGCACAGTTCGTGAGAACCCCGCTCAGATCCCAGCTAAAACAACCGAACGCGCACGAAATACACTTTGCCATAGAGTTTGCCCCAAAATACCGTTTGCGCCGTCGAGTAGCTGTTTTCAGTTCCATGCGCTCGACGACCAAACACCGCTGGGGGGGAACAAAGGATCCAAGATGGCTGACCGCCGTGTGGTCGGTAGCCCGAACGACGGCCACCTAGGAGAGCCTCTAATTACCAATTGCAACATTGTTGCAATCGGTTAACAAGCGCCACACGTCCCTTAGTGTGTGGGCTATTAAAAGATAGTTAATTCGGTTCACGAACAGCTCGCAAAGGCGCTGTTCGTGAAACGAAACACAGTAAGGCTACCTGCTTTTGGCAGATAGCTGACAGATCAATGAAACATACAGAGAAGGCAGTCAATTACAGCCAGGCACATAGTACAGCACAATAAAGATACAGGCAACTTTTCCCACATATTGTCCAAGTTAGTCCAAGTGGCTAGTTTTGCCACAGAGACCTATTTATTAAGGTGCATCAGGACTGTAGTGTAAAGAATACAGATATGTATACCTAATCAGTGGTGTATTTAGGTTTTGTGCTGCCCTAGGCAGGACGGTGCTCGGGCACCCCCCCTAATTAAAATTTTCCCCACCCCTTCATGTCAAGGCTGCACTTTGACTGACAGACGCACACTTACTGACAGACTCACACTCTCATATACACTGACAAAAAAATGACATACACACACTCACTGATTTGACACACTGATAGACAGACATACACTTAGACACACACTCACACTGACAGACGCACGCACTGACTGACAGACACACACTCACTCATTGAAACACACACTCACATTCACTGACACACTCACATTCACTAACACACATTTTCTCACACTCGCAATTATTATTATTATTTTTTATTTATTTAAATCCACCCAGCCTCCCTACGTTTGGGATAGCTGCGTGGACTTCTCACCTGGGGTCCAGTGGGGCTGCTGGGCAGGGAGGCGGCCAGACGTGCAGTTTTCAGTGAGGGAGCACTTTCCCCTCAGCTCCCTCGCGCGCCGCAGAGTGATGCCGGGAGCCGGAATATGATGTCATATTCCGGCTCCCGGCATCATTGCGGGTTGCATTGAAAGTGCTGCCTTGCCGCCCGCCCAGGAAGCCACTGGCCGCCTGCCCCGGGGGAGCCTAGTGGGGAGATAATGGCTGTGGTATGGGGTCAGGGGCTGAATTGGGGAATGGCTGCACTTGGAGGAAAAAAGGCTGTAATGTGGGGGATATGAGCTGCAATTGGATAAGAGTGACTGTAGTGGGGGATAGGGACTGTGGTAAGAGAATAGGGGTTTTAGTTGGAGGGATAGAGGCTGTAGTAGGGAAGTTAGGGGCTGCAGTGGGGGATAAGGACTATAGTGAGGGGTTCTGGGCTACATTTGGGGGTAGGTACTGTAGTGTGGGATAGGTGCTGCAGTAGGGGTGGGGGTATGGGACTGTAGTAGGGTGCTTAGGGCTGGATATGAGCTACTTTGGGGTATGGGGGTTCAGTGGGAATAAGGGGCTGTAGTGGAGGTTCGGTGCTGTAGTTGGGTTAGGGGCTGTTGTTGGATTAAAGGGGCTTTAGTAGGGAGTTTGGGGCTGTAGTAGGGTATGGAGGCTGCAATTTTACAGTAAGGGGCTTGTAACGGATCACCTGGTACCCCGATTGGGCACCTCCGTAGACGGACGCTTCCTAGCTGACGCCGAGGACCATAACCACAACCACCGCAGACTCCACAACCGCCGTAGCTTAACTGGAGTCACACCGTCTTCCTTCCACCCTGGATCAACCTCTGTCCTCCAGGACCGTGTGGGAAAGACCTCTCCTCCAGGAGAGCGTATCAGGAACAGCTCTTAAAAGAGCTAAGTGATTAGAGCTCAGGGGAGAATAAAAGTATAGCAGTTCCCTACAATAACGAGACAAGACTATGTATTGAAGGTTAAGCAGGAACAGAAGGAACTGAGGCTTTATTTATTTATTTTTTTATAATTTATATTTTATTGTAGTTTGCACATATAAATTACAACTGTTCGCAGTATGAGATAAGTAAGAAAAAAATAAAACAGTAGTTACACATGGTCTAAGATGAGGCAATACATACATAATGTCACCTAAGAGGTAAGTATGAAACCATGTGTTACATTCAGGGCCACCCTTAGGCCTTTAGGCGCCCTGTGCGAAAAATCTTCACAGCGCCCCCCCCTCCCCCGTCATCCATGTATGATGTAATGTTTGTGTTGTCTGTGTATGTGATAGGTGTGATGACTGTGTGATATATATGCTATGTGTGATATCTGTATTGGGTGTATTAACTGTGTGTGTATGTGTGTATTGGTTGTATGTGATATTTGTGCTGGATTTATTGGCTGTGTGTGTTGGGTATTTAATTCAAATAAAAACATGCATTTAGGCTTGTGTGTGAATGCAGGTGTATATTTTTGCAGAGTTATGTGCACACAGTCCCACAGTCAGATGAACACAGTTATACATATACACTGTCAAAGACACCACATGCACATAGTCGCAGGCAGATAGTCACATACACAGGATCAGGCAGTAACACACATACACAGTTACAGGTAGATAAACATACTCACACACAATTACAGGCAGGCAGACAGCCACACACACACAGGCAGACAACCACACATACAGTCTTACACACACACACACACAGCCACACACACATACTTACAAGCAGACAGTCACACACACAGGGAGACAGCCACACACATACACAGGCAGACAGCCACACACACACAGGCAGACAGTCACACACACAAACACACACAGGCAGACAGCCACACACAGTCACACACATACACACACAGGCAGACAGCCACACACACAGTCACACACATACAGTCACACACACACACAGGCAGACAGCCACACACACACACACACAGGCAGACAGCCACACAAACACACACAGGCAGGCAGACAGCCACACAAACACACAGAGGCAGACAGCCACACAGAGGCAGACAGCCACACAGAGGCAGACAGCCACAAACACACACACACACACACAGACTCTGGCAGACAGTCAGATTTAGTTCAATTAGACGAACGGCAACCATTTGTGCAAACAGTCAATGTTAAAGTGCTGTTCGAATTGTCAAACAGTTTTCGACTCCAGTCGAAGCGTCGAAGTCTGGAGAAGGTAAAGTTCAGCGGTGTTCGTCCCGTCGCATATCCGATTTGAGTTCCATGAACTCGACAACTAGACACCGCTGAACGCTTTCGACTGAATTAAAATGGCCGCCGCCACGTGTTCGTATGTCGAATGGCAGCTTCTTCGACTACTTCGGCACTTCAGCTGCATCCGAAGTGCCACTTCAAAAGTGCAGAACTGTACCAGTACCATTTAAAGGGGCAGAAACAGTGCTCCAAAATACAATAGGCACAAATAGAGTTTTTAAAGGGCAATACAACCCAGGGGCCATAGTCACAGGGCAAGAGGCTGTCAAGAAGGCCTCTCCAAAAGCCAATGAAGAAGGGTAGTTTGTTACAGGGCTGTAGTAGGGGGTTATGGGTTAAAGTAGAGTATGGGGGCTGTAGTGGGGACTAAAGGACTGTAGTAGGGTGTAGGGTCTGTAGTAGGGGGATGTGGGCTGCAATTAAGGGTTAGGGGCTGTAGTTGTAGGCTAAATGCTGTAGTCTAAATTGTCTAAGGAGGGATGCTATGTTTAACTTGCTATGTCTTTCAGATTTCCTTACAAAAGAGTTGATATACACTATACTCGATGGGCATTCCATTGTATCATTCACCTGTCATTCCATAGAAAAGAGCTATAATCCCAGTTACTTTTAATGTTACAATCTGCTGCTGTACTTGGGGAACCCCTGTGGCAAAGGTTAATTTGCTATGTAACACAGATTTCCCTGCAAATGAGTTTATATTCTACTTCCCATTATAAGAAAAAAATAATAATAAAGAACACAGGGTTCTACGTCTCTGTGTATCCACCTGTATAAACTCCCCCCAGAATGGAGCCAGAGGGGGGAAGAGATCAACAGGTGCCACACAGGGACTAGTGTACCGAAACGAGATTCCAGGTATCTCGAAGGGGCTTAACCCCAAATAAACAGACAAAAGAACAAAAAATGCAAAATGCAGTCTGTCTCAGAGTGTACGTAAGATCAGCAGCATAGCCTGGAAATATATATACAACGGTATAGTGTAATACCAACCCTGGCTTACTAGATAGAAACCGTAAGAAAACCTATAGTAATAGAGTAAAAAACATAAATAAAAGTGATACTATAATTCTATGCCAGACCAGGATATAATGGATAGGGATATCAGAGTATAGCCTATAACGTAGCACCACCCTAAACATCTGCTTTATTATAATATGCTATAAGGGTGGAGATACTCAAAAAGGTAAATCCCATATAATAATCAATCCTAGAAAGTGTCTAGAGTTGAAATCAATATGACATAAGCTCAGAGTCCAGCTATAGTAAAAAGATAGAAGGATAGAGGTAATAAATAAATGAAAAACCAGTCAAAAAATAGACTGATGGTAAGATTAAGTTACAAAGCCTCTCTCCCTGTAAATCTAGCTAGACAGGCATAGAACAGAAATAAGAATAGAATAAGTATATTGTCAAATCATGGTGCTACAACCACCAGTGCCCAGTATGGGCATTTCACTCATATCACTTGATATGAGCACTGGGCACTGGTGGTTGTAGCACCATGATTTGACACTATACTTATTCTATTCTTATTTCTGTTCTATGCCTGTCTAGCTAGATTTACAGGGAGAAAGGCTTTGTAACTTAATCTTACCATCAGTCTATTTTTTGACTGGTTTTTCATTTATTTATTACCTCTATCCTTCTATCTTTTTACTATAGCTGGACTCTGAGCTTATGTCATATTGATTTCAACTCTAGACACTTTCTAGGATTGATTATTATATGGGATTTACCTTTTTGAGTATCTCCACCCTTATAGCATATTATAATAAAGCAGATGTTTAGGGTGGTGCTACGTTATAGGCTATACTCTGATATCCCTATCCATTATATCCTGGTCTGGCATAGAATTATAGTATCACTTTTATTTATGTTTTTTACTCTATTACTATAGGTTTTCTTACGGTTTCTATCTAGTAAGCCAGGGTTGGTATTACACTATACCGTTGTATATATATTTCCAGGCTATGCTGCTGATCTTACGTACACTCTGAGACAGACTGCATTTTGCATTTTTTGTTCTACTTCCCATTATACTCTATGGGCATTCTCTTAATTCATTCACCATTGTCATTCTATAGAAAACAATGATAATCCCACTTAATCTCAATTTCAAAAAATTGCCACTGAACTCGTAGAGTATGCCTGCAAAAGATTTACTTGATATGTTTTACGGTTCAGATACCAAGTCACATACTGCTTCCCATTATACTCTATGGGCATTCCATTGCATCATTTACCTGTCATTCCATAGAAAAGAGCTATAATCCCAGATAATTTTACAATCTACTGCTGTACTTGGGGAACACCTGTGGTAAAGATGAATTTGCTACACAACACAGATTTACCTGCAAATTAGTTTATGTGTTGCCTCCCATTATAATCTATGGGCATTCTCTTTAGTCATTCACCATTGTCATTCTATAGAAAACAATGATAATCCCACTTAATCTCAATTTCAAAAATTGCCACTGAACTCGTAGAGTATGCCTGCAAAAGATTTACTTGATATGTTTCACGGTTCAAATTCCAAGTCACATATTACTTGCCATTATACTCTATGGGCATTCCATTGTATCATTTACCTGTCATTCCATAGAAAAGAGCTATAATCCCAGTTACTTTTAATTTTACAATCTACTGCTGTACTTGGAGAACACCTGTGGAAAAGATGAATTTGCTACATAACACAGATTTACCTGCAAATGAGTTTATGTGTTGCCTCCCATTATAGTCTATGGGCATTCTCTTTAGTCATTCACCATTGTCATTCTATAGAAAACAATGATAATCCCACTTAATCTCAATTTCAAAAATTGCCACTGAACTCGTAGAGTATGCCTGCAAAAGATTTACTTGATATGTTTCACGGTTCAGATTCCAAGTCACATATTGCTTCCCATTATACTCTATGGGCATTCCATTGTATCATTTACCTGTCATTCCATAGAAAAGAGCTTTAATCCCAGTTACTTTTAACTTTACAATCTACTGCTGTACTTGGGGAACACCTGTGGAAAAGATAAATTTGCTACATAACAGAGATTTACCTGCAAATGAGTTTATGTGTTGCCTCCCATTATAGTCTATGGGCATTCTCTTTAGTCATTCACCATTGTCATTCTATAGAAAACAATGATAATCCCACTTAATCTCAATTTCAAAAATTGCCACTGAACTCGTTGAGTATGCCTGCAAAAGATTTACTTGATATGTTTCACGGTTCAGATTCCAAGTCACATATTGCTTCCCATTATACTCTATGGGCATTCCATTGTATCATTTACCTGTCATTCCATAGAAAAGAGCTATAATCCCAGTTACTTTTAATTTTACAATCTACTGCTGTACTTGGGGAACACCTGTGGAAAAGATGAATTTGCTACATAACACAGATTTACCTGCAAATGAGTTTATGTGTTGCCTCCCATTATAGTCTATGGGCATTCTCTTTAGTCATTCACCATTGTCATTCTATAGAAAACAATGATTATCCCACTTAATCTCAATTTCAAAAATTGCCACTGAACTCGCAGAGTATGCCTGCAAAAGCTTTACTTGATATGTTTCACGGTTCAGATTCCAAGTCACATATTACTTGCCATTATACTCTATGGGCATTCCATTGCATCATTTACCTGTCATTCCATAGAAAAGAGCTATAATCCCAGTTACTTTTAATTTTACAATCTACTGCTGTACTTGGGGAACACCTGTGGAAAAGATAAATTTGCTACATAACAGAGATTTACCTGCAAATGAGTTTTTGTGTTGCCTCCCATTATAGTCTATGGGCATTCTCTTTAGTCATTCACCATTGTTATTCTATAGAAAACAATGATAATCCCACTTAATTTCAATTTCAAAAATTGACACTGAATCTGGAGAATATTGTGGCAAAATATGGATTTCATATGTGTAATAGTTTTGTCTCTAATTGAAATATTTTGTTTCCATTATTCTCTATGGGCATTCCACTGCCTTGTCAAAGTCTATGGGCATTCCACTCTGTCATTCCTTTTACTATGTCCCGTGGCGAGGGCTGCATAAACAGAAACAAAGTGATTTAACTCCTAAATGACAGTGAATCGAGCAGTGAAATTGCAGGGGAATGATCTATACACTAAAACTTCTTTATTTAGCTAAAGTAATTTAGGTGACTATAGTGTTCCTTTAAGGCTTAGCTAACCTCTGGATGAGGATGATTGGAGTTATATTTCACAGTAGCTGACTTTGTTTAGCAACAGGTTGCCTCACCATTACAGCAGATCTATAGATTAACTCCCACCAGCCTCAGCCAGAATTGTACTGAGATTGATGGGAGGTGTAATCCAGCAGTACTCATTATAATGGGACACATCCTCCCAGCAGACAGGATTGTGTTGATGTTCTTCTTATTAATAAAGGTAGTTTATATAAATTGCTGATAATTACCTGTAACCATGGTAACCAGCCCTGTAAAGCCCACCCCATTCTGGCTGTGTGCGGGTACCAGCGGTCACAGCAACTTCTGATCCTCAATGAGATCAGGGGAATTGATTATCGATCGGGAATAATCAATAAACCCCTTTCTGGAGCCATTTACTCACCAGGTGCTCTCTGACAGCTCAGTCACTACACGTGGACCGCAAACCGGAAGTACTACTGATCACATGCCACACAAGAACACCAGATGACAACGGGTGGAACGCAAACCGGAAGTACTACTGATCACATGCCACACAAGAACACCAGCAGCCAACGGGTGGAACGCAAACCGGAAGTACTACTGATCACATGCCACACAAGAAAACCAGCAGACAACGGGTGGAACGCAAACCGGAAGTACTTCTGCTGGTCAGCTGAAACCCAAGAGTTCTCTGTCCTGGTTGACTAGCATTTCAAACGAACTTTATTAGTCACAAGAATGACAGGACACAAACATTGTAGCAGGGAGATGTGGCATCTTGGAAGCCTTCTCTTATCACAAGTCACATATACAGTACATATCAATAGGCAGGAAATCAGACAATGAATCACTCAGTGAGCAATTCTACAGGATGTGAATGCTTCATACTGCAGGACAGCACTTTTCATGCCCTGCCCATCTATATCTGATTAACTCACAGCAGATCTGTAAGATCCCAGTCCTATACAAGGCTGTCAGTTCCTTTATGATTGCCTTCATACAGTATTTCTGTACGTTAAACTGCGGTTTATAACATCTCCAGTGCAGGGGCCTGCTAAACGTATCTACTTATATATTTTATTTAGTTAATATTACAAATAGCGAATTGAGAATTGCGGCATAAATAACAACTCCAAAGAATTCTCCATCTCAGCATGTGTCACAGCTCGGCTATTTTAACCTGAAATTTGCCACCTGGATTTCATTTATTTATTTGTTTATTTTATGCATACAGCACTGCTGAAATGGGGTTTTATATATTAATTTCATATTTTGAAACTATAGCAGCCAAAATAAAAATAAATAAATAATTAACCTAAATATTTTTTTACGAAAAATAAAATATGGCTTGCAAACCACCCGGAGAATTGGCGTGTCAGCTTGGCTAAATGTGTGCCAGCCTGATTGCCAGTCAGCTTGGCTAAATGTGTGCCAGCCTGACTGCCAATCAAGCAGACTGGCTCATTGAAGGCAAACCTTGCAGAGGTCGGGCAATAAGACCTCCATTTTACTTTAAGAGAGGTTTAAAATAGTAATATTTTTGTGACATTACATAGCATGGGGAATTTTTCCACACAATGTAGAAACATAGAATGTGACGGCAGATAAGAACCATTCAGCCCATCTAGTCTGCCCAATTTTCTAAATACTTTCATTAGTCCCTGGCCTTATTTTATAGTTAGGATAGCCTTATGCCTATCCCACGCATGCTTAAACTCCTTTACTGTGTTAACCTCTACCACTTCAGCTGGAAGGCTATTCCATGCATTAACTACCATCTTAGTAAAGTAATACTTCCTGATATTATTTTTAAACCTTTGTCCCTCTAATTTAAGACTATGTCCTCTTCTTGTGGTAGTTTTTCTTCTTTTAAATATAGTCTCCTCCTTTACTGTGTTGATTCCCTTTATATATTTAAATGTTTCTATCATATCCCCCCTGTCTCGTCTTTCCTCCAAGCTATACATGTTAAGATCCTTTAACCTTTCCTGGTAAGTTTTATCCCGCAATCCATGAACCAGTTTAGTAGCCCTTCTCTGAACCCTCTCTAAGGTATCAATATCCTTCTGAAGATACGGTCTCCAGTACTGTGTACAATACTCCAAGTGAGGTCTCACCAGTGTTCTGTACAATGGCATGAGCACTTCCCTCTTTCTACTGCTAATACCTCTCCCTATACAACCAAGCATTCTGCTAGCATTTCCTGCTGCTCTATTACATTGTCTGCCTACCTTTAAGTCATCAGAAATAATCACCCGTAAATCCCTTTCCTCATATGTTGAGGTTAGGACTCTATCAAATATTCTGTACTCTGCCCTTGGGTTTTTACGACCAAGATGCATTATCTTGCACTTATCCACGTTAAATGTCAGTTGCCACAATTCTGACCATTTTTCTAGTTTACCTAAATCATTTGCCATTTGGCTTATCCCTCCTGGAACATCAACCCTGTTACATATCTTAGTATCATCAGCAAAAAGACATACCTTACCATCAAGACCTTCTGCAATATCACTAATAATGTAATTACTGATGTAGCGTGAGAAAGCCTTTATAATGCCTGTGAGAGCTCAGTCTGCTGTGAGCCCATGCTTGGAGAAGAAGGATTACTTTTATGGCCATGGGTTTTGTGATTTTTTAAAATATTTTCTTTAACCCCTTCAGGACGGAGTCAATAGTGCACGTTCTGATCAAAACAAAATGTAAACAAAACCTGGAATTTGCACTATATGTCTGTTCAACCGTAATTCACCTCTTTCATATTAAGTGCACCCACACTTATTATATATCATTTTGTTCAGGAGAAACAGGGCTTTAATTTGTCATTAACTATTCATATATGGAACATAGTTTATTATGAATACAATTAAAAAAAATGTGAGAAAATAAGATTTTTTTTAAATTTGTATTTCCATCTGACATTTTAGCTGTGAATGTCATAATACTATTAGGTTTTACTGCAAATCAGTGATGTCCCAACAGTAACCCCCATTAACAGGTTTTATGGTGTTTTGGAAAGTTACAGGGTCAAATATAGAACGTTCCATTTTAAAATTGAAATTTGCCAGATTAGTAATGTTACCTTTGAGACAGTGGGGTAGCCCAGGAATGAGAATTACCCCCATAATGGCATACCATTTGAAAAAGTAAACAACACAAGGTATTGAAAGTGGGGTATGTTTAGTCTTTTTTAGTAGCCACTTAGTCACAAACTATGGCCAGGAAATATATATATGATCTATGTATATATTATTTATTTTTACATTGTTTTAATTTTATTTTGTTTTATTTCCAGGCAGCAGGGGGAGTACCGGTCATTACAGGCCCTACCGCTGCTGGCAATGCCTTGGACGGCTATGCCGTCGATGTGATCGTGAAGTCCTCGCAAGGAACTCGCGATCACATGGCCTAAAGAGGAAGGAGGGGGTAAGTAGAAAGGATGGCATGGGCGTTCTATGCCGCCCTCCGGCGTTTAGAGCCGGTTCCCTAAGGACGGCATAGAACGCCTGCCGTCCTTGAGGGGTTAAATTGTGTTATAAAAGTAAACTGGAATTTGTTGTTATTATTATTAATATTGAATTTTTTATTTGTATGTTGTTGGTCACTGTTCTGTTGTAAAAGAAGGGATCTATCAGTTTTTAGAACCATTTGCTCATCAGTTTTCAATTTAGCTTGGTTATAACCTTTCTCTGTATAGCGTTTTTTTTTAAATATGGTGGCACCAAGCTATATGAGGAAAAAAGGTAAGAAGGAACTGTAAGGAAACCAAGTACATTTAAACCTTAATCGGTAGTTTCCTCCCGAACAGCCAGAGCCCAGTGAATATAGCCCTCCGTCCGGTGGTTATGATAGACGAATTCCCAATTGTAAATCCAATAGTGTTCCTGGATAATTCCCACAGTAAAACACACGAATTCCCAAACAGCATACGTAGTCAGAATAAGGGTACAACGATGAACTGAAGGTTTAATGACAGGCATGCTCTTTTTATGGAATTCAGCCCATGCAAGGGAGCCTCCCATATAATTAGCCATACATCCAATCCTAACAATAAACATACTGTACATCTCCTCCCCTCAGATAACCATTAAACACAATTAAAACGTAACAGAAATTCACCAAAGTTTGGATGTACCCCAAGGACTTGATCGCTATTGTCTGGGAGACCAACATATTAAAAACTCAGACCATTCGGTTCAGCCGTTCGGGAGATATGGGACTTAGAAGTTTTGACCGACTGCACGGGCAAAGTGGCCGAAAACAGTTCCATGAATTCTGGACCTGCAGTTGGTCTTAGATCGCATGAAAAACCTCCCGAATGGCCGGCCATCCAGCTACCATCCTTGGTTCGCTTGATTCCCCATCCGTTGGTAAGTCTTTCTACCGAACGCCCAGTCGTTCGGTAGTTTGGAAGGGGGTTTACCGAAGGTCTGGAGGCTTCAGCGGTGTTCACCTGTTTGAGTGTCCGTTTTCAGTTCCAGACATTCAATGGCAAACCCCGCTGTTCGGGAGCTAAAATGGCCGCGAACACGTGGAAGTCCCGAAATGGCGGCGAGACCTGCCGTTCGTGCAGAACTTCTGTCGAACATAATCCAGCCAGCAAGGGGGTACAGTCTGTATAATGGGTAACAGGGTGGTCTGCATTCGGTAGTTTTACCTACCGAATGCCATAGGGAAACATTGCTATTAAACAAACACATACCAGAAGGCAATTTACAGTATAAGAGGGGCATTTCTTCACAGGAACCAAGACCAATTAAAGGGACACTATAGTCACCTGAACACCTTTAGTTTAATTAAGCAGTTTTGGTGTATAGAACATGCCCCTGCAGCCTCACTGCCATTTAGGTTAAATCCCTTTGTTTATGAACCCTAGTCACACCTCCCTGCATGTGACTTGCACAGCCTTCCATAAACACTTCCTGTAAAGAGAGCCCTATTTAGGCTTTCTTTATTGCAAGTTCTGTTTAATTAAGATTTTCTTATCCCCTGCTATGTTAATAGCTTGCTAGACCCTGCAAGAGCCTCCTGTATGTGATTCAAGTTCAATTTAGAGATTGAGATACAATTATTTAAGGTAAATTACATCTGTTTGAAAGTGAAACCAGTTTTGTTTTCATGCAGGCTCTGTCAATCATAGCCAGGGGAGGTGTGGCTAGGGCTGCATAAACAGAAACAAAGTGATTTAACAGATTTTTATAAAAGACAACAGAATTAACACACACACTTTTTTCAAAAAAGTACATTCCAGTGCTGTTATAGACCAGGATACCGGTCATTACAGCCCCTGGCTTAAAAGGATTCTGAAGAGTCCAGTTTTACAGATCAGAGGGAATTGTACTTATTAGATGACTATACGGAACAGTCACAATTTTTGAAACTTTTTTTGATAAAAATTACTCAGAGCAACATCTAGATACAATAATTGAAAAAGTAAACAGGACAGAGCCAACGTTCTACAATATAAAACCAAATGCAC